GGCAGATGAGGGGAGTAAGTCACTTCTGACTTGAGGACGCTGGTATCAATGCCACCAAGCACAATACCGCCCTTGTCGACGGGTGAGGCATCCCAGAGATCTGCCATACTGAAGCCAAGGCCGATGACATTACGTTTGATGAGGCCAGCCTTGACGAGAGATCCCATGAAGTTGGGGTATTGACCAGCCTTGCCGCCACCGTCGGTAACCACATCATCTTGAAGCGATTGAGGGCCAATACCGATGATCCCACCTTGTGCCGAAGGATCGGGTGATTCGTGACCTTTTTGGCCAGGGATGCCTCCAAAAGCGAGCTTGAGGTGAACGTCACCGACTGCGACCTGATCGGTGTAGAAATTACCGATAGCAGAGGTGCCATCGGCAAATATCTCGGCGAGAAGAACGTTGCTTGCGACGGCAGACGGTCCAGGCTTGTAGGCTGACAACGCGCGTCAGNTTTACCGGCTTCTGGGCGCAGNAACTCACGTNGGACCCATGTCGGACCGCTGCCCGAGTCGAGCATGACATTCTCGTACGTGACCGGATGGGTCGTACCGACTGTCAAGTTGACGTAGAAGCTGCTGTCCTGAAAGCTGCGAGTCGGGAGAAAAGTATCCGTTACCAAGTGGTGACGATGGTGGTGACGATGTTGATGAGCGCGAAGCTTAATGACAGAGGCATCGGCGACGTAAGCAGCGGCGACGAGAAGCTGCAAGGCGATCTGCATCTTCACGTGTTGCTTCTGGATGCAATTGCGATGGACGAGTAATATGGGTCGGAGTAGCGATTGTAGCAAAGCAATCGAACAGGTCATGTTGCCGAGAACGCATCAATAAGCGAACTGTTGCGTTGCTCAGCGCCCGTCACCGACGATAAGAGAGTATGTGTATCGCATGCGCTCCTATGTTGACTTGAATTGACGCGCGAGATACGGTTGATAGAGATAGGCCGGGACCTTGCGCGGAGGTAACAGATACGTGCTGTTCTGTCACATGGGTGACTGTGCTGCATCTGACGCTCCATCATGTGAGCGAGCCGCGCACTTGAAGAGACGTCAATCGCTGAGGTACCGCTCGGGCAAGGCGACTCGGGTTCTATCGAATCTGCCTCACAGCAGCTCCCGTCACATGCGGATTCAGTCGCTATGAGGTGAGCGGACTGATAGGTTGGTAGGGTCTTGCCTCTAGTACACGCAAAGCCTAAGAATCGTCCGTCCGTCCGTTCTACTGACTAGCTGCTCATTCGTGTGGTCACCGAGTCCTCGAAGAGTATCTTCGCATACCCACTGCGAGTCTTGAGACATGCTGACAAACGCGAATGTCGTCATCTTGGCGGTGCTCGCCGCCGCAAGCACGCTTGTCTCGGTTCGGTTGGCCAGATCAAGCTATGCACATCATTAATGTGACCTTTGATCAGGCTCAATGCGGCATTATTGCACCTAGTAGCAGCTGTGTCGTCATCGACAAATCTCAGCTGAAGACGGGCGTCAGTGCCAATCGTTTGTCTGTTTGGCTGCCCGAGATCTGACGGGCATGTCAGGAATGCTGCCGCTGTAATGCATACAGCATTGCATATGGCTGTCAGGCTTGCGGCATAGCCGATGTTGGATGGTCAGAGGCCGAGTCTTGCCCATGCTGCATACTGACTGACAAACAGTCCTCCCAGTTGAGAGTCGGATTTCCCCCGTATGTCATGCATGCATCGAGCAGTGCTCTGCGGCAATGATGTGATCCTGTCAGTTGTGTGTTGCATCTGAACATCTGGCGATAGATACTGCCGTGCATCATCGATTCGAGCGAGCAGACGCTCTGGCCCCGATCACGCTAGATGCAACGCTAGAGTATCTATCGAGCCATATGTAGCTCCGCTTTATTGGACTGCAGACTGCAGAATCACTTAGGTGTCGAGATGGTCGCTCGGATGCTCATGATACTCTCGTCGTGCTTTCTCGCTCGCGTTCGAGCTGGTCTCGATGTTGGGGCCGATGTACGTGTGCAAGCATTTGCTTGGCCATTGTTGATGGACACATAAGCCGAATTGCTATGTCGGCGTGCTGGGCAATTGCTTGACGACAGCCGGAGCAAAGTTCTTCCCTATGGTCTGCAGCGACACTGTTGATACACGCAGGCTGATGTAGTCCGCAGGAGGGCTGCTGCTGCCAACCAAACACCAACAACGTGGGATGTGATTCATGTTACACAGGCTCACTGCCGTGCTGATTGTGATTTGATGCCTGTCACTTCCATCTGCATGCATGCTTTGTCATCGGCATCTCAAATGGCTGAAGAGGCGACGATACCTTACAGAGAATGATGGCGTTGTGGTTCAAGAGAAATGGATGAGCTTCTTGTGGAGGAAGCAGAGAACCATAGGGCTTTTTGATGACGTAGCAAATACACAACGCGCATGGCACATCATTCCCCATGGCACACCGTTCCCCACGGCCGCCACCCTCCACAAGCCTCGCGAACGAATGAACGCAGACGATGATGTATTCAGCTTCATCGATGATGATAGTGATGTGCTCGATGAATCCTCCGACGCACCTGGAAGCCCCGCGCAAGATATCATCAGCGATGAACCTTCACAGCCTACATCCATCAACACCACACTGCAAAGCTCTGCGAACACTTCCATCGATGCTAGAATCGCAGAAGATGATCATAATCCTAAGGCCTCTGAGTTGAATGCACTCGCGAGGCTTGCACTGCCTCTCATGCAAGGTCTGCTAGACGAAACAGTCGACCAAAATTCCGGCGTTCACACGACCCGAACTCTATCGATCACACTGAAAGACACGTCGAATCGGTCTGGAGAGAGACACATCATGTACCCCAAGCATGCGAGGAGTGCACGAGATCTGACCAGTCTGCTGCGTCTGATCGAACTATCTATGACCGCCATGGACGACCGGCGCATCGTCACAAAACGGTGCGCTGATCTTGCTGAGCACGTGTGCCAGACTGATAACTTGCTAGCGAGTTGTACTATGCCGACCCGCAGCTTTTTCAGAGGCAGAAAACTGTAGACAGAGTAACGTTGCGTTGAATTAAAGTCGTGTGGTGCTCACGCGATACAGCTCGTCGATCCGCTAGCACACACAATTGATCGAACTCGCTTTGACATCAACATCGTCGCAGCCGCCAAGGGTCTCTTCGCAGGTGCTCTCGTCTTGACCTCAAGCGAAGGCACAATGCTAGATGGTCGGGGCTCAACAACCGTCAGTCTTTCGTTTGTGACTGGGCTTGGTCTGGTCTCACTGAGCAAAGTCAGGGCTGCCTGATACCTCCCGCTGAGCTTGTCTCGTCCATCGACATTCTCAACGCGCGCTGGGTCATTGTGCTAGAAAAAGAAGCCGTCTTTCGCTCGCTGGCCCATCTACTTCCCATGCTAGAGGCTGACCACGGTCCGGGCATCATTATCACCGTACGTGATAGATGCGCATCCGGGCAGAGTTCTGACGGAGTTGCAGGGTCGGGGCTATGCCGACCTTGCCACGCGCTCGCTCATCGCTCGCATCTCGCGAGAAGATCGCTTGCTTACCATTGCTGCGCTAGTCGACGGCGATCCGCACGGCATAGACATCCTAGCATGCTATCGTCATGGCACGCTCAGACACAGTGGCAAAGCTGCTGATCTTGTCTGTCCCCGGATGATCTGGCTCGGCCTGCGGCAGAATGACCTCGACGAATGTAGCCTCGTCAGATGGCTGCCCTTGACCGAGCGCGACAGACGACTTGCGACTAGCATGCTGGCACGTCCAACGCTCGACGATGAGGTCAAGTGCGTCCAGATATATTGGGATCGTTACAGAATTCAAATGCAATGCAGGCAAGAGCTCAGTCGGATGCTGTGGAATCATCGAAAGGCAGAGATCGAAGCGATTGAGGCCGCTGAAAACACAGGGAGCCTGTTGCAATATGTCAGCAGAATGCTTGCCGGCTTGCTCAGCAGAGAAGTAGACGAGGCAGACGAGATGATGCTTTTTTGACTGATCTCTTGCCTCTAAAGACTGCATGCATCTAATTTTTGCTGCTCATCCCATCGTATACATGAACGCCCAAATGCCAAAGCCGCTCAGCAATGGTAGCGCGAGGTTGTCGTCAAGGCCGAAGACGTAGACCGATTCTGCGACTGCTGATATGAGAGCAGACGCCGACATGAGGACCGGTAGCGAGACCGTCGATCGAGGTGAGGGCAATCGAGGGATGTGTGCCCAAGGCCTTTGAGTCTTGACGCCTGAAAAGTCAACGAGTCTGGGTGTGGTATTATGCAGCCATGAAGTGGAAGAATGAGGACCCCATGTCGCTGCTGATGTCCAGAAAGCCCACGCGCAGAAAGCGCCCGTCGCAGCAGCACCGATGAAGCCTGCTAATGACTTCTTAGGCGCAAAGAAGCGACTGATAGAGGTCAGTCTGGGCGTGTAGCTGCCAAAGTTCTTTCCAGTGATCGATGCTGCTGTATCGCACCAAGACAGGATCACGACAGAGAGCACGGCGATGTCTGGGCAAGGGATGAGCAAGCCGTACTCCGAGGTGCGTATGGCAAGCAGAGACTCACCTGTCGGCAACAATGACAGGACAGTGATGACACCGACGAGGTAGTACACAACCCCATTGACGCCTTTCTGCTCCGGCACAACGTCATCAGCATCGCGTTGGCGCAGCTCCGGAGTGGGTCCACCTTTTCAGACTCGCGCATGAGGAAGCCAAGGACGCTCTCGTAGAAGGCCTCGAAAGGTGCGTTGTTGTGTCTGAGTAGTTCGGCAGAGGCAATGATGATGAGCGCAACGGACTGGTACCTGACCAGTGCCGTCACTGCAATGTCGGTCCCCCAGCAGTAGAGCGCGTAAAAGCCTGACGGGCGAAAAACGATCATCAAGACAGAGCGCGTAGACGAGTGATTGACTTGCCTATTGAGGTGTGCAGGATCTTGCGAGGAACTTCCCATCTGTCAGACCATGCCTTGAGCTGCGCAAATGTCGAATCGCCCTCTGTCGTGGTCGACCGTTTGATAATCTTTTTCGCTCGTTTGGCAGCAGGCGTAGACTTGTTTGTTAGACCGTTGCCACTGCCATTGGGCAGCTGAGTGGCAGTGTCTGACTCTGACTCTGTCGTGGCTGCGCTCTTGCCTCGCGTACTCCGTCGAAGGGGTGACTTGCTCGAGTCGGATTCCTCGTCCTGCGCCGCGACGAGACCGGATGGCTGCTTGTGCTCATGTCCATTCGTGTATGCACTCGCCGGGGCATGGCTCGCGCTGCCATTAGCTTTGCCTGCCCGCTTGACCGGCATCTTCAAGCCGACCTACGACGGTGAATGCTGAAAGGCGCTGAAATTTAAAATCGCGCTCGCGCTGTCTGGGCTGAGTCGATAGGCCGATAGCTTTATGTAGGGCGCGCAGAGCTCAAAGATGCTTGAGTACTCAGTGTGCTTCATGACTGCTTCCCAATGCATCCTCACTCCCCATCAACTGTTGAACGTGACACACTCTTCATCTCATCGATTTGCTGCTGGCCTGATCCCGGTTCACACCACCGCGGCATTGTAATTATGCATCTGCCCACCAGCTCGCCGGCCCGTGAGAGGCAAGCAATCACTCATCTTGAATGATCAACAGCCATTCGAGCGCTGCTCGCTTGATCGACCGTGTCAGTATCGGCGGTCGTCGGCAACCGTTCGGCTTACCTGCAGGTCCCAGGCGCCTTGATGACTCCTTGTACCGCAGCAAAGGAGAGACTTTGAACCGCTACATGAAGCAGCAGCGGAGGCAACGGCAGCACAACTAATTGAAGTAGCAGCGACGGGAGCCATGGCATTTCAGCTGACAACCCGTCGTCGTGACAGTGGTCAGGAAGACCGTCGCCATGTTCGAACGCATATCGTGTCATATTTTGCATCTCACAATCTCACCAGCCTTGACTCTGCCAAAGCTGAGATGCTTACATATATGATATGCGCCTTGCTCGGCTTCATGTCCGTCGCTGTCAGTCCTGCTGGTGCCGCGCCGAGCAACCAACTCGTGAAGCGTTCGAATCCTGTCGAGATTGTAAGTACCTTGGTCCGTCGTCAAGATCAGGTATGACTTACTTTGGCAAAGCTCGGCTTCGAAATCGGTGGCCCTGGCCAGCATGTCAACTTTGTCAAGACGCTACAGATTGTCTATGTAGGTCTCGGCGGTGCTCGCGTAGGACTCGACTTGATGGCCGCCGCCTTTGCAGAACACAGATACCGGCCTTTTTGAAGCAGGCAGACTTGCCGCTGGAGATTACTTCCAGCATGTGGACGTGAGATGCAGAGGTGGCTTGCATACCGGGATCGTCTGGACGACTGCGGATAGCAAAGGCAATAATGTTGAGATCGACTTTGTCCTGTATCATCACGTGGCAGTGACGGTCGGTTTTCGCAGTAAGCAGCTCTCAGGCACGATTACAGCCGCTCAATCTCGTCTGCAGTTGGTGACGACAGTTATGACGGCGACTACTACTTCAACGGCTCCCACCTCCCGTTCAAGATCTTTAGCTCGCGCGGCGTGGTCGCCAATCGCCATCTGTTCCCTCTCGATAATTACGGAGCGGGCACTTGGTGAACAGTCATCTATCGCTTGCCAATTGCAAACCGCCCTCGTTGCCTTCGCCTACGCGCATCCTACAAGAAATGAAATCAGGCCTCGGTGTTTTTTTGAGACGACAGAATTCGACATGTCGCACTGCTCGCTCGTAATTCACAGAGCCTTTTCATGATCGAGCCAGATACGATGATGTTTTGGCCCTAACCGTCATCGCCCTCACTTCTGCTGCGCCCTGCCCGGATACCGTAGCAGGCACTATAGTCTCACTCGAAAGATTGCTCACGCTCAGTATCCTCACCGCAACTTTCCGACCGGATGAATCAGACGAAGCGCCTCGCTCGCGCTCGAAAAGACGCTTCCGATTGTCTGCTCGGTCCTGCGCGTGACGCGTCATACTGATATGAAGAAATGCAGACCATCGAGAGCTGCAACTGTTGCCCTCTGCGGGTGCCTCAATCGGTGTACAAACCGACATGCTTCTGCACAGGAGCACCGTTGCACTTCTGCACGAGGAGTCATCAGCATCTTCGTTCCTCGCACCATCAGCACATACCATGCCGTAGTTGTCAGGATTCGTGACGTCAAGTGTGGTCGTCATCCAGCCAACAAACGTCACGCGAAAGTCGACGAGATTGCCGTACACGTCGCTCTGAACTTGCATGTCAATGTCATACGTCTCATCAAGCAAGTTGCCGGTCGCTGCATGGTCGTGAATCAAGACACCGTATCGAACGCCACCCAGACCCACTGCTGAAGTACTGCACCTTGTTTACGGGGTCCTTACTACTCAGCGGATAGCCGAACTGCACCTCGTACTCGACCGTGGCGTGATTGCCTTCAGGCGGGGCCGGAGTAGCCCACACATCGCTCACATCGTATTGCTAGCGAATAAAGGGGTCAGAACGAGCTATGCAATACCATCGGATGACTCACGTGTCTCAGCGGAACCCACGTCAAAGTCATACCACCCGGAAACGAAGTGATGCCGTTCATCCAGTCGTCGTAGACTTTGATCTGCCAGATGCACACGAGCACCGGTGCGGGCTGCTCGATCCACTTCTTGGTGATGCCCGCACCCAACGCTTGTTTGCTCGGCTGGCCATCGCGTCCGTCAGCTCTCGACTTCTGACGAAGATCGACGGCTGCTGTTTGTGCCAAGCCGACGAGTGCCGAGAGCAGGAAGAAGATCGTTGCAATGCGCAGCTTCATTTGTCGGGTTGGAAACAACTTTGCCGAGCTACACACGCTAGCCAAGCCCGACATGAGACTCTTTGCGGAGGAGACCAGTCTCAGTAGAAGCTCATGTTCGACACTATGCGGAGTGTGTCATTGCCTTTCGCTCATCTTCGACAAACAGCATTCTCACCAAAGTTCACCATGATGCTTGCCTACTTCCTGTGTGCTCTCTTCAGCTTCCTTGCTGTCGCCGCCAGCCCCGACAGTGTTGGACAGACTCACCAGCTCGCAGAACGCGCCGGTCCCATCGAAATTGTACGCACTTTCTTCACTATGGTTACCATGGCGGGGCTCATGTGGCTTTGATAAGCTTGGCTTCGAGCTTGGCGGCCCCGGACAGGCCGTATACTTTATGAAGACTCTTCAGATCGTTTACGTAAGTCTCTATGCACGAATCTTTGCATTCGCAGGACTGACTCAGGCTGGAACGCGCAGAATCCACAGACTGGCCTTTTCGAAGCAGGCCAACTCTTTGATGACGACATCTACCAACAGATGGACGGCAGATGCAAGGCACATACACAGACTGGTATCCTTTGGTCGACCAAGGACAGCAAAGGCAACAATGTCGAGATCGACTTTGTGCTCTATCATCACGTGGCGGTGACAGACGGTTTCAGAGGTACGCCATACCATCGCGATGCAATACATGGGTGACACTTGCCAGCAGTCGGCGAAGATAGTTACGACGGTCTGATCTATTTCAATGACTCGCATATCCCCATCAGAATCACCAGCTCGCGCGGTGTCGTTGCCGGCCGCCATTTGTTCTCTCTCGTCAATTACGGACCCGGCACCTGGTAATCGTCTGCTGTCTGGCGTACGATTGCGACCGGCAAGTCAGCACCTTGCCTGCATGCAGTCCTTGTGAGAGGATCGAGGACGACACCCTGCTCCTACGTGCCGAAAGAGCCTCAACATGCTCCAAGTCAAGCTTCTTGATGTTTCTTTGCCGCTGTCGCTGCTTGCAAACCCGGGAGCTCGTCTCATGAGTTTTTGTCTAGCCTTGCGCTAACTTCCGTGCCTTAGACTATCTCGAGGATATTCGGCGGACGACGCGCTCATCACACATATCACAGCCTTGCGATGAGACTCTGAAAAACGATCTGCACAGCAGTATTGCGAACCTATTATGCGTGCGCGATCTTTCGCATGAGCACCGGTCTAGGCCAGTGCTAGACATGTATCTCTGTACATGCGAACGTGTCGCTCGGAGGCTATCCTGCGGTCGTCAGGTCTGACGAGATCCGACGTGTCGGAGCGTCATCGCGTTATTGTCAACTGCCCAACCTCGACGGCAGTCGCAATGACCAGCTCCTCCCAAGGTGATCGCGTGTCCGCTATGCGCCTTCTTCGGGATCCTTTCGATCGCTGCCAGCTCTGCCGTTACCGAGCAAGTCCACGAGCTCATTAAGCGCTCGAATCCCGTGCGAGGTTGTGCGTGCTTTGCCTCTCCGTTGCCACTCGGAGATCAATGCAGCCGACCTCAGCTTGATTACGAGCTCGGTGGCCCTGGCCGGGCAGTCCACCTAGACCCTATAGATCGTCTACGCAGGTTTCTGTTCACGAGCATAGGCTTCCTGAGCATCGTGGGAGATTGCGTAAGAGACCGAATGTGCGGCTCTGAGAATGCTCGGAAAGGGAATGATGCGATTGAAAGCCTGAGCGGATGTGAGAGGTCTACTGTGCCAAGGCAGAGGGTCCAAGAGAAACGAGGCAAGAGGCTCTTAATTTTGACGCGTATGTCGCGTCGCGAACCCGCGCGCCCATTTGCCACGCGGACTGCTGAGCTGGTCGCCTGAGTAAGGCAGGCAAGATGTCGTTCCTAAAGTGAGTGACCATTGATACTCTGGGCACACTCCGCTGAGCTGTTGTGCGCTTGCAGTCGACTGACGAGACCGAATGCGAATAATACATCACCCGGCGTAGCAACGATTGCCTTGCCATCGCCTGCGATCAACTCGAGCAGAGGCAAATCACCCTCGTCATACTTCAACGGAGGCAGTCAGTACGGCGCCAATGAAGTTGGGGCTGGCCAAGTCAGCGGGACCATCAACACGGCCACCGGCGCAATGACCAACGAACGGCCATTGTACCTTTGTCAACCGTAGGCAATAGCAGCTTTGTCGGGTGACCGCGGGCTGACGGATTGGCCTGCCAGCTTCGTCAAAGCAGCGCTGGTCAAGGGATCTCTGAGAACGATCACAGCGCTGCCCAAATACGTTGATCCAAATGAGTGGGTAGCAGTCAATAGTGAGCCTGCCAGCTGTTGCGCCAGAAGAATGCTCACCTTGCGCTCTTGCAGTCGTCGATTTCTTCAATCAGTGCGTTCATCGCTGCGCCTATGTGTATGCGCTCAAACGCTGGTCACACCAGCATCAATCTGTTCCTTGGCATCATCTCGGAGCATTGCACACGCGACAGGTGTCCCACCATGTCTGCAGGGCCTGGCATGGCGAGTCTCAATAGTGTAAGACGTTCATGAGCTCATTCTCCTCATGCAGGACTATACATGGACCTCAGGACCTAACAAGAAACAGCTCAAGGTGCCCGCACCAGAGTATACGGACTATGTCCTCACGGTGCGTCGCCACGCATGCTTCTTCGAACAGAGCTGGCTGACAGCACGTACAGTGGACAGAGAAGCTGATCGGCGACGAGAGCGTCTTTCCGACGAAAGCAGGGCGGGAGTTCTCGCCCAATTTTCCGACAACAGCGAGACATGTCTATACTCAGCTGCTCAGGATATTTGCGCACATCTACCACGCGCATTTTCACCAGATCCTGCATCTCTCCCTAGAAGCTCATCTAAACGTAGGTCTGCTTGCTACCATCAAACCAAGAAGCTGATCCCAAGCAGTCCTTCTTTGCGCATTTCCTCGTCTTTGGACTTACCTTCGAGCTGCTTGATCCCAAAGAATGCCGTGCACCGCGAGAGGGATGGGGTTTCGTCGTTGGCGATCTACTGGATGCCTGGCGCGCCCTCGGTATCATCGAAGCTTGATCGTAACAAGATCAACGAAACTTATCGCACAGAGCATCGCATGTGCGCGAGACGAGACGCGGACAGTGATTGTTCATTGTAGCTGTACAAGTGCACTAAAAGACGTCTAGGCCTTGCTCGAGCGAGATAACCGTTACATGAAGGAGCAGTTCGTAAGAAAGACAGACAGAAGCAGCCAGCGCTGGAAATTTTCTTGGGTTCGTTTCGGACCGATCGATTACAAGGACATGCCAGAGCTGTTGTTTCGCTGTCGGTGGACCGGCTCGTCATACTGACCAGGCGCTTCGTCTGGCCATTCGCTGCCCAGTCGCGCCAGCTCGCGCCTGCCTTCTTCATCCTCGTCGAGGTTTGACATGTGCAGCGACGATAGACCGTGCGAAAGCATCGACTCGCCGGTGTACGAGAAGCCGCGGAATGCCTGCAGCCCAGTGAGCGAAGATCTGAAGCGAGTTGAAGCAACTTACGTCCTGGACGCTACCAGTCAGAGGTGATCCAGACGTCGCTCCTCGCCGAGATTTGCCATGCTTGGCCCCATCGATAGGAACAGACCCGTTGGTTGGCATTGAAGCAGCCTGATCGAGCCAAGCCTCCGAGAGATCTTCCTCGTCAAAGTTGACAGCTGAGGGTGCTTCGGTCAGCACGTCGACGTCTGTAAATTCCGGGTCAAAGTTGGCGACCGATTCGTCGGACTCGACATGCGGTTTGAAAGGCGGCGTGATGTGCCTGGCTAGATACGCCTCCCAGTCGACAGACGCAAAGAATGCGTGAGCCTTGAGATCACCAGTATCGTGCTGCGCGCCTAGTCGATGCTTCGGGTTGCGGTTGAGCAGCTGTTCTCGGAGCATAAGCATCCAAAGACATGAGAAGGTGCACACGCACTCCTTTCACAAAATCTTTGCCTTCTGCCGAAAAGGTTCCTTTGGGGAGCCTGAGCTTTGCGAAGCAGATGTTCTTATACATCTGCTGGGTGTCTTCGGCGTAGAACGGACTCCAGCCGCAGCACATCTCGAACAGCAGGACGCCCAAGCTCCAGAAATCGACGAGTTTCGAGTAGCCATGATCATCGAGCAGAACCTCGGGCGCAAGGTATTCAGTCGTGCCGCAGAATGTATTGGTGAGCGCATCGGACGGCAGGTCCGGTTTGGACAATCCAAAGTCGCACAAGCAGAGATGGCCTGTCGCATCGAGCAGGATGTTCTCCGGCTTGAGATCGCGGTAGACGATATCGAACTTATGAAGATGCTCAAACGCGAGGACAATCTCTGCGGTATAGAATCTTGCTCGGTCCTCGGTGAATCGGCCTTCGCGCTGAAGGTGATGGAATAGTTCGCCACCTGGCTTGTAGTCCATGACGAGGAAGAGCTCGGTAGCAGACTGGAAGCTGAACTTGAGACCGAGCAGAAATGGGCATTCGGATGACCGTTGGAGGATCTTGCGCTCGCCGATCGTATGCGCAACTTCCTTTTTTGCCACAATCTCTTTCTTGCTGAGCACCTTCATCGCGTAGATTCGCTTGCTGTCCACCTTGCGAACTTGGAAAACCTGTTCGCGCAGGTCAGCAAGGCGTCTCATAAGCAGTTGATGACGTGCTCGACCAAAGGTCCCTCGCCCGATCATCCGCAAGAAATCAAAGTCCTTGACTGCTAGCCCTCGCTTGCTATGCTGCAAATGACTCGGGAGATCAGCTGGACCTATGTTAGCATCAAAGCAAAGGCACCTCTAGACGTTCGTAGCGCATGTGCACACGGATCTCGCCAGTGACCTCTTCGTCTTCTCTAGACTTGAGCTTGTACCACTCGTCCGTTATCCGTCCACTGATGAGCTTCGGGCGAAGTTCCACTATCCCGAGGAAACCCTCGTCATCACTCGCACGGTCGTAGACAGTGAAGACGATGGGAGTCGTTTCGTGAACGATATCACTGCAGGCTTTGTCAGACGTGGTCTCTGATATTCCGATAAGACCTACAAAATGACTTCATGGTTCCATGCCGGGTTGTTGCCGACCAGACAGAAGAGATCGTTCATCTGTGGTGCACCCGGTGAAGACGGCGGCGGCCTGTTTCGCTTCTGATCGCTCACGCCTGCGCTCGCTCTCGCGGTATCGTCCGGATCCGCGCCAGCTGAGTGCAGTACGGGTGGATCAAGCTTCATCTGGTCCGAAGCCGGAGTGGCAGTGTCCGAATCTTGATCGTGGATATCGTCGCTCGGTTCTGGGGAAACGAATTCGTTCTGATCGAGCGAGATGACGACATAGGGCCGTGCACTCGAGGAGGTCACTGCCAAATTACGCGCTTGCTTGAGCACGAGAGTAAGTCTGCCTTTGAGACCTGTCGATGTGCCTGGCTGAGCGCCCGGTGTGACAAGCCCGGGCGTCGTCAGGCCAGAAGTGAGACCAGCCAGGGTCGTCGGCGTGGGTGGCAAAAGCAGACTATTCGGTTTGGCTTGTCTAGCGTCTAGCGCGGCAGGTTTGCCGGCCACCGCGGTAGGCTCCGCAGCGACGCTATTCTTCTTGACTGCATTTGGTGGCGACATGAGGCTGAACGGCTGTGCTGTGCTAGCAGATTGCGTAGGCGGTATGGTCGCTCCCACAGAGGCGGTCTGTATCTGCTCCTTCTGCTCCTTCTGCTTCTTCTGCAAGGCAGCCGCAGCGCCGGGTTGGGTGGTAAACGTGAAGCTAGGCTCTTGCCTGCTCAACTGGGTGGTAGCAGGCGCAGTAGTGAAGTTGGCGTTGGTCTTGATCGCGCCTGGTGTGACCTTGCGACTGCCTCCCGGCGTGAGGAGTGTGTCTATAGAGCTGAACGAGGGCGAGGCTTTGTAGGAGCTCGTTGGCGTCCTGAGACCGGATGGAATGTTGGCCTGCTGAGGCTCAAGTGTGGCTCCTGATGCGCCCGCTGTCAGAGGCGACTGTGACAGCTGGTGGCTGTTCTTGCGAGAGGCAGGCAGGGATCGCATGGGAGATTTTGTCCCGTTCTGATGAGCAGGCGACGGTGACAGTGAGTCATCGAAAGGATTACGTTCGGTCGCGACAGAGTGACCTGCCGCCTTGGGTGTAGTCTGATCTGCCGGGCCTGCTGCAGAATGCCATATTGCCTTGAACATGCCGAGGCTTGTTCAGCAAACTGCGGACGGGATCGACAGGCGGCGAGCGGCGAGCGGATCTAAGCAGGATGACAATCAGAGGGCGTGAAGCGACTCGTCAAAGCAGTCATGCGGCTTGTCAATGCTCACTGGATTACCTCCGTCGTCGCTGTGCGCCAGACACCTCGAGTGCTGCTCAACTCGCTGTGGACAGGTTGGCGAGCAGGATTTGATTTGGAACGTCGGCAGATTGTTCCTGATGCGTGACGATTGCAGTCTGAAGCAGACGCAGTCGTTCACAGAAGATGCCACGCGCCCTTCTGAGGAGCTTGGGCTTCAGCGACAGAGGCGAGACGTCGAGACTGGGAACTCTGCGCTGGGCGCCAATCTGGCTCGGCTCAAAACCGGTAAGCAGGCGGTGTCTCGCGCAGGCCTTGCAAGCGCGAGCTGGCAGCCCTACAGACGAGCTCAGCCTTGACGTCTATCTGCCGTGCAGGGTCAAGTCTGGCGAGTGAGATGCCGTACGTCGACCAATACAAGGCTGCCCTGGGCTTCGTCGGCTGCCGCTGGCTGAGCTGACACGTTGCTAGCGCGTCAACATTATCACCTAGTTTGCTCTTGCCTCGCCTCTGTCGATCATCACCCTCGATGGCTCGGGCGTCGCCGCAACGGCTCGCGCTAACAGATCATGGCTTTGTGTTAGCGTCTGGGCAGCATCTGCGATTAGTCTCGCTTTCGTACGTCCGATACAGACAGAGTTTTCTGTTGACATTGTATTGAGCAAGTCGACAGAGGACAGTTGCAGGCCTTGGCTTCTGACGATGGCCCAGCACACTCGGCGATGATTCGAGACTTGCTCGTAGCCCGTACGCACGCGAGTGAAGACATTCTGATCACGTCTGCCAGCGACAAGACTGTCAAATTTTGGTCATTGCCCGACCTTGCCCTCCTCAATTCGTGCACTGTCGTCAAACGATTGAACGGTCTTGCGCTATCGCCCGGCAGAAGGACGCTCATCTGTGCGGACATGCACGGCGATGTTTACACGTAGGCATCGTCGCTGGTACAGCAGGCTCTGCTTACACCCAACGCGACGCTTACAGACTGAGCTTACCTGTCTCCATCGAAGAGCTCAAGACGATGTCTCTCAGGCCAGAGGGACCTGTGATGGGCCACGTGTCCATGTTGACGTCCTGCTTGCTCAGCTCAGACGGAAAGCAGCTCATCACAGGCGACCGCGACGCTCATCTTCGTGTCTCCCGCTTTCCGAATCCATACATCATCCAGTCTTTCATCTGGGCTCACACCGCGTGCGCGTTCTGCCATCATAGCAATGGCGCGTACTGACAGTCTGCCGTGTATGCATAGCTATGTCTCCAGGCTGATGCTGCTCGACGACCATACCCTGCTCAGCGCAGGCGGCGACAATTTTATCGCCGTCTCAGATCTCAGGACGGCATCTGTATCTCGCAGAGTGGATGTGACTGCTCTGGCGCAGTATGCGTCCCCAAAGATTGCCAAGGAGGCCTCGTTCGCCATTCCGCGACACTCGAGACGAACCAAGAAGAATAGGGAGCGGCAGCAAAGCGGCACACCTGCTCTATCCGACGAGCCGGAGCAAAGCGAAGCTGCAGATCCCGAGGTAGAGGACGTGGCGCCCCAGAGAGTAGCTATCAATCGGCTGTTACGGATAGGACAATACGTCGCTGTCGCTTCAGCAGGGTGCGATCGACCTAAATGCCCTTCGGCAGTCGTTGATGATGATACTCACTCAGGAACACTGCGCTGTTGCTGATACCATTGACATCCTTCACATCTGAAGCGAAAGCAGTACCCATCGCCTTCGACCTCGCCGTGCCTGTGCTGGACTTGCTTGCTCGGTCTGACAATGAACTACTAGTCTCTACCCTCTCGCCTGACGCAGAAAGTATGAGACTACTCAGGATCGACGACAAAAGGGTGAGCAGCTCCAGACTGTAGCGCGAAACCCGACTAAGTGGCGCGCAGCTGGTGGACGTGTCAGCCTCATCTGACTGGCTCAGTGAGTTCAGAGCGGCATCTCGGGTGCAAAGTAGGCGCTCTCGACCCAGCGCGTCAGCTTGTACTGATGACAGCGCTCGGTCTCTCAGATGCGGCGCACGACGTGAAGGAGCTGTTCCCTGAATTACATCTGCTGCTCAAGCAAGATTACGATGATTCAAATGCCAACGGCGAAGAGGCTGCAGATGTAGTATACGAACAGCAGCTCGGAACGAAGCATGCGGTCGCAACTAAGAGACGAGGGCCAGGCGCGGCGCAGGTCGTCCATCGTGGTCAGAAAGCCAAACGCCGAAAGAAGAACGCAGAAGCTAGAAGTGAGGCAGCATCGACTGCTAGTGCGTCTGTAGAGGATGCATAGAGAGTGGTGTATGCTGAGTTGCGTCAACAACAAATGAACAAGTGAGAATCTCAATCGCAATGGCCATCCTTCCAGCCGTCTTTCCATCGTTCGTCTACTTTATCGCAGTCAAAGGCTTCCTTGCCAAGCTTGACATTGATCTCATTGTGTGTCTCGCACATCCAGCGTGCCAGTCTCTCCCTGCTGCTCACATCCGGAGGTCTCTGCTTCATCTCAATAGCCAGATCGGCAGCGCAATGCGAGCAAGGATAGAGCACCGGCATGGCTCTGAGGAGCGACATCATTGAGCTCTGTTGTGTCTCTGAGGGTCGCTCGGGGTAGTAGGCAGCTGTCGTGTGCAAGAAAGTCCAGGTATGTCGTCCTAAACGCTCCACATCGGCCGGACAGTCCTTGGGCAGGGCGTCGCTTGACTCGGGCAAGGGCACAGCTGTCACTGCTCCTGCCGCTGCGGCCGATGTGACCTTGGCAGCCTTCTGCTTGCCCTTGCTGCCACCAGGCGCACCGTAGACAGATGACCATGCCTTGAAGCCCGAACAGACCTAAGATCGTTGCGATCAATCAGCTTTTGAAGAGTGCGTTGTGCTTCGCTGCACTCGCCTTGCACGGCTTGCCATCTGGCCCGAGCACCATGCCCGGCGGCAAGGAGCCCTTTCTGTGTTGTTCAGACGTTCCTACATCGCTCATGGCTGTGAAGAGTAGTGGCAAAATGGAAGCGCGTGCAATGGACAAGACAAGATTATCAGATCAAAAGGCGTAGCGGCTTGCCTTGGGCGTCGTGTTGACATGGACGGCATCGGGAGCAGTGCGGAGGTGGTTGTGCTGTGAGGGAGCTTTGCTGTTGATGGCGGGATGCTTGAGACCACCGCGCTTTGCCATACCATGCGAGAAGTCAATGACTTCTTCTACAAATTCATCTGGACTATCGAGAGGCGATCCGCTCTCGTTGCCTGATGACGATTCGCAGAGTGAAGGAGGTCGACTAGAGCTAGAGCTGGCAGTCGATCGTGTTGGGCTAGGCTCGGCAGACCATGAAGTGGGTTCAAATCGTGTCGGGCCACCGCCAGGTGAGCCGTTGCACATGGGCGACCCTGGATATTCTTCGACATAGCTGGACACGCGCTGCTCGAAGGAGAAATTGCGGAACATGCTCGGTATCGGTTTGGGTCCCGGCCGTTGTCCGCTTGCTGTCTGCGAATGCGAGAGCTGGAGTTGCTTAACGTTCTTGTGAGAAGCCGTCGCGTTGCTATCTGCCGAGCTATCGGTGATGGTCGAGAGACCAGATCTGTTGGAAGCCAGAGAGACGACGGAGGAGGATCTCCTCCAGGATGCAGGCGTGTAAGTCGTCAGAGCCGGACTTGTGTCTGCGATGGCCGCCGGCTTTGGCATGACAGGGGGTATCGATAACACCGGCGTCGGGGGGACGACAACACTCGAGACAGAGCCTCTGATCCAGCTGGCAGTGCCCCAAGCCATGCCAGAAAGTCGTTTGGTCTTGCTAGGCTGCTGCGCTTGGGTGAACTCGTCCACCACATCGTCACTGTCAGTCGGCAGGGGTGGAAGTTGAAGAGCTTTTTCGGCCGGTGCAGCATCTGCAGACGATATGTAGTCCCGCAGAGCTCTAAGGCAGGTTTCGCTAGCCTCGCGCGCTTCTTCCGCCTGAGCGAGCTGCTCACGCAGACGAGCGCATTCTTCGCTGACAGCTTCCAGCGACTCCAACGGGACCATATTGCCTCGCGATTCCGTGTCTTCCGGCGAGCCAGTGTATGCAAGCCGGCTCAGCGAAGAACGCCGTGAATGTGAGACGGACGTGACCGAGCCACGTCGACTGCAGGCTGAGGACTCCGACATCCGCCGACTGTCTGGTGCAAGAGGCGCGAACGAAGACGGCGGACTGCGATCTTCTGCAATGGTTTCGATGGCTGCTGACGATCTTCTGTGGTCACCTGGGCCAAAGTTGGGCCTCAGATTGTCGCCAGAACCAAAGCTACTTCGTTTGAAGCGGCCATCTTTGGGCTGCTCTGGCGAGCCTTCTGCAAAGACGACGCAGCTGCCCGGTCTACGCTTGAGTGATGCACGACGATCTTCTGCTGCCTTGGAGTCTGTCTTGAGTGAAGATCGACGACGAGACATACTGAGGTCTTCGGCGGGCTCTGCAGGACCTTCCGACCGTGCGAGGCCTAGGCCAACTCCGGCAGGATTGCTGACAGATGGACTGCGACTGGAAGTACAGGGAGCAGCACCGATGCTCGCGCGACGAGCAGCAAATGAATCTACACTAGAAAAGAGGGCAGACACGCTGGCTGCACGTGCGCCGTCGTCTCTGGGGCATTGAGACTGTCCAGCAGGGGCGGCGAGCGATGCAGAGCGCGACAAGGAGCGAACCTCTGCCAGACCAGCTGGTAGAGGTGGCAATGGCGTTTCTGCGTCTGCGCGCGCCGGCGTGTAGCCTACGTGAGCAAGCGAGGCACGTCGAGCGATAGGCGCAGTCGGCTCTGCGTCTTTGCTGCCTGTGGAGTTTGAGAAAGCGCGACCAACTTTACGAGCATCTAGAGAGGCCGAAGCTTTGCGAAGGTTGTCGAACGCAGTTGCCATCGAGCCCCTGCGCTCTGAGAGCGAGCCACGCTTTTCGGCACTTGCGTGAGGCTCAGGACGCCCAAATTCGATGCCGATGACTGATGCACGACGCTGTGCACTCATTGCAAAGGTGGGCTCGGGTGATTCTAGGCCTTGCTGAGAGTTGTTGGAGCTCTCTTGGCCGAGCGACTGTGACAGAGGATGCTTGCTCGTCATAGGCGCCATGGAAGAGCGCCGGCTGTTGTTCGCCGAGGGAATCTCATCGGGTGCGAAACTTGATCTGCGTCTACTGATATTCGATACTGGTGCAGAGTCGCGGCGGGTCGACAGGGCACGAGCGGCTTGCAGATCGTCTTGCAGTCTCATTATGGCCCGACGAGCTTCTTCGAGCTTGTTGCGCAGTATGACGACCTTGTCACTCTCTTCTCGCGTTCGGCCCTCTGCATCTCTGACCGAGGTCTCGGCTGCGGACAAGCGTGCTTCTGCTGTGTAAAGACGAGTCTGAAGCGATGAGATGGTCGCTTCGTGATCGGAGCACTGGGCGACAGTCTGTGCTAGCGACGTCTGGAGACCTCTGATAGACGCCTGGAGCGATTCATTCGACATCTAAGTAGCCCTGTGAGCGGCCACACGTACGCAAGTATCGCTGCGTACCTTGTGAGAGCCTGAGGGGAGCTTCGCTGCAATGCCAGCACTGCGCGAGGGTATATAGCGTCACAAGCTCGTCCTCGTCAAGAGAACAAAGCGAGGCTGTACAAAGGACGAGTGCGCGTGCCCAGGGACAAGCTTCTGGCCTGCCTTCCGCCGTCCTGGCTCGCCCACCTTGACGGTGCAGCGCGCCTCCGCAAATGGAAACTGCGTCAACGCGGGGCGCGTACCTGACATGAAATCATCTGAAAACGCATATTCATCTGCCTCGTCGTAAGGCGCGTGTCAACCGGCCGCTCCTTTCGTCGACACGACAACTCTTATCTATCAACGAGGAGATCCTTTGCCATGACATCCGGCAACGACACGCCGGAAGGACTCTGCGAACCGAAAAAGCGCTCGAACAATTCGCAAAGCTAGATCGTCCGGCTGAGCACCGTATCGTGAGAAGATCAAGACACACAGCAAACGTACAAGCCATGCTTTTCAACTCACTTGCGGCCGTTGCTGCCCTCTCGACCGTCGTCGTCGCCGGTTCTTTTGAGAAGCGTACAGCGCATACAGGCTGCTACAACTACTACAAGGACACCCTCGGCTTTGTGCCATCGGGGAAGTCATACGTCAAGGTCGAAAATGCCCAAAAGTTCCACTTTGGAAACAAGACTCCCATCCCGATCGCTGGTCCCAAAGGTGGACAGGCTCGTTGCCAAGCGAACTTTCACTCACTGCTGGGATGTCTACAGATACTCATTCAAACCCTGGAATCTGCAAGTACTACAACAGCAGTGTCAGTCTGTTGCCTACACTGATCTACCTCCTACTGAGCGTTCTGCTTGCAGACTGAGCTCGGCGTATGTCTCTGGAGCGGATCAGACCCAAGCGGCAATATCATCCCTCAGTCTGGCTGGCTGTGAGTTTCTTTTGCCTCCGGACGATGGCCGGCTCGACCGAATGAGCGCTTCATTGATCATCATTTCACGCAGTAACGGAGCCAAGCGATCCAATTGCGGCAAGATGGTAGAAGTCAAGGCCAACGGCAAGACGATCCATGCCAAGCTTGTCGATGGATGCGGTCTCGAGGCCACTACGCCTGCAAAGGGCTGCTCGATCGCTTGGCTCACCATCGCCGCTTTCAACGCTCTAGCCTCGCCTACAGAGACGGAAGGCAACGGCATCGCATCGATCGAGTGGAAGTTCCTCGACGGACCGGTCTAAGCGTACCGTCTTGTAGCTTTTGATGTTGCAGATCGATGATGCATTCCTAGGCTCGAGCTGAATATCGGGCCTGCTGAGGCACATACAGACCTCTACTCGCGGTCTCTATACAAAGCTTACAGCATACCGCAGGTTCGAGCGATGTGATGCTTTCGTTGAGATACATGCATAACCTGCACGCTGTTACTGCTCCCAGCGATATGCTTCTCTAACCGTGCAGGCTGGATTGTCGAGCTTCTTCAGGAGCATGTAAGGCAATCTATCCGAGGTCAGCTATAACCTCTCATTCGCAATTTTGCTCACCGCAAACCTTCTTCAGGAATGGTGGCGCAGATACCGCCCTCTCGCTTGCATTTAATTCGCGAGTACGTGCGTATCTCGTCAATATGACCTGTCCGGTGTCATCAAGATTGGCAAGCGGCCGCTGGTTATCTCACGGTTTGTTCGGGGCGCAAAGCCGACGACTACGCGCACTGGCACCTACTCTGAGTAGTCGCAGCAACAAAGCGATCCGAACATACTGCAATATCTCTTCTCGCAGCATGTGTCCACCCATATGTCTGCAGCGAGCGTTGGCACACGCTCGTCACCATGTCGGGGACGTACTGAAGGTGAGACTTTTCATGAGGAAGCATAGCTCGATCTCGTAGTCGATTCCGGCCGGCACAGCCTTGGGCATAGATATGACCCTGCATTCTGCCTCGGCGAAGCGACTCAATTCGGGCGGGATGCCCTGGACCGGTCGTGAGATTGGATAGAGGCAGCGGTCCGGAGAGATACATTGACAAATTTGCAACCATTGGTCGTCCAATGTGACGGATTGACAGTCGGCTGGACAATAGCTTCGGGAACAAAGTATTCAAAGGCTTCAGAGGTAAAGGGCGCATAGGGTGGACAGACTGTGCCGCATTCGAAGATTCTGAACCTGTAGCTCGCCTGATATTGTTCAGGTGCGAGCACTAAAGTCAGAGCGAGAGCCATAAGAAAGAGAAGCATGAAGCCGTCAGATCGAAGAACCTAGGGCTGGGTAACGTGTCATCCGGATCGATGTTATGACGTGGCGAGCATGTGCCGGCAAAGTCGCGGGGCGGCGATGGCCGAATGAAAAGCGCTTCGCCGGTCGATTGCTCCTTCTTGCAGCGCACTCTCCGCTTCGACGTTGGGAAGCCTGATTGAGGAGCCGAGCAATAGCCACATAGCAGCCAGTTACTCCTTCGTCAGACTCGCACATAGTCGCCCAACCCGGCAGCGCATCAGACTGAACCGGTCCAGCAGCCCAGCTATCCGGTTGACTTTACCCCAGACTCACTTGCCACACTCGCTTGCCAAGTAAATCGTCAAGATGGATGACAAGAGCACGCAGCGAAGGGATCATACCCATGTCCATCGTGCGCCTGCAAAGTACGATGTCACAAAGATGAAAAGAGCGCTTGGCTCGCCATCTGTCTGCATCGTTGGCAGTGGCATCTCTGGTACGATCGTCGTCGCTATCGATCGACAGCACTGACAGTGCGTCCAGGCATGATTCTCGCCATCGAGCTGTGCCTGAAGGGCATCACCGATGTCACAATCTACGAGCGAACTGGAACCTGTGCAGGCACATGGTCACAGGTAAATCGCCCTTCCTTTCATCATGACGTAGCTTACAAGCCTTGTATCAGAACACATACCCCGGCTGTGCATGCGACGTGCCGTCCCACTGGTATTCGTACAGCAAGGTCATGAACCCAGATTGGTCGCAAGCCTTCTCGGCCCAGCCCGAGATTGAGAAATGTACAGCTCTCACTCGCTCACATGATACAAGCTGACATCGAATGCAGACTGGGAGCATGTGCGCGACTTGTACAACTTGAAAGCGATCACGAAGTACTACACCAACTTTGAGGACGCTACGTGGAACGAGTCAAAGCAGAATTATACTGCTCGCTTTAGGGACGTCTCACCCCAGAAGGGCGGCCTTGAGTCGACCGAAGACTTTACGATCACAGCTCAGGTCGTTGTGTCTTGCATCGGCGGATTCTCTTTACCGCTTGACAAGCCACCTGGTCTGCCAGGCATCGAGAACTTTGAGGGCAAATCGATGCACAGCGCCCGCTGGGACAACAAGATCGAGCTCAAGGGTAAGAAAGTCGGTATCATCGGCAACGGCTGCTCTGGCGCTCAGATCGTACCTACGCTGGCAAAGGATCGCTCGATCCAACTCTACAATTTCTCCCGAACGCCATCCTACTTTGTGCCCCGTCCTCAGCACACTTATCCACGCATCGTCAAGTGGATGTTCCGATACATCCCAGGTGTAGCACTGCTGTATCGCTTCTTCATCGCCTTCGTTAGCGATCTCAGATGGCTAGCTTGGTTGATGAACAACCGCTTCATCCGCTGGTACGCCACCAATATGTCAGTCACGCATATTAAGAAGACGGCGCCGAAGAAGTATCTCGACTTCCTGATTCCAAAGTATCCCTTTGGCTGCAAGCGTGTCATCATGGACCCCGGCTACCTCGAGTCGCTCCATCAGGACAACGTCGAGCTGGTCACTGATCCCATCGACACAATCGTCGACAAGGGCATCCGAGGCAAATCTGGCCAGGTGTACGATCTGGACGTCATTGTGCTCGCTACCGGCTTCAATCTCTCGTCGAAGGGCCTCGGCCTCAATCTGATCGGACGGGGCGGTATGGCGGTCCACGAATGGTGGGAACAGACCAATGGTCCGCAAGCCTATCTCGGCACTACCTTGCCACATTTCCCCAACTTTGCTATGTGCCTAGGACCGAACGTCGCAAACGGACACGCGTCTGCCATTGCTTCGATCGAGCATCAGATCAAGCACGTCGTTGAGCTTTGCAAGGCCATGACGGATCGAGGCATCACTTCCTGGGAGATCAAGGAGCGCGTCGAGCATGAATTCAACGACAAGCTGCACAAGCGCCTTGGCAGAACAGCATGGTCTGGCTGCGCTTCATACTACCGTATGGACAACGGCAAGGTCATTGCTACCTGGCCCGGTACAGGTGCGCAAACATTCCGATGATTCATCTGCCATGTCCTGACGTGGGTCTGCAGTGTTCCGCTATGGTCTCCAGCTTCGCTCGCCTCGCTTCAGCGAGTACAAGCTTAAGGGTGACCGTGGAGCGGGCTACATCTCCAGTGCAACCACGGCCGTCAAACACGGATTGCTTGGCACGGTGATTGGCACACTCCGACTGTTTGACTTGTAAGGAACCATGAGGGTCACGTCTAAAAGTCTTGGCATCTTATGTAAGCACTAGTCTCCAAATGTTAGAGCATCGGCCATTGCATCTTTACATCCCACACTGGCACGGGCCTTGCGCTAAGAGCACAGCAGCGGGTGTAATAGAGGTCACCGGACCGCTACACTGCGAATGTCTAGTCGCGCGCGACGTATCGTGTTGGATACGTATGGCCACAAGGGATTCCATGCATCCCGGACCGCCAAGCTCTGGCAGGCAGCGACAGCTTGCGCATGCAGAATTGCACGCGCGTGAGACTAAGAAGTGCGACCCGCGCGATGCTTCCAGTAGAACGCGCAGAGCGCTCGTTTGTGCCAAATTCGCCTCGCCTCCTTGTACTGCATCGCGAACGATGCTTCGTCCAGCTGACCATCTTGAAAGCGCGCGGCGAGCTGCTCTGTTAGATGTTCTTGTTCGCTCAGTGCTGCGCGTAACCTGTTGAGCAGCGCAGGCGGCGTGCAACCCTGCGCTCGACGAGTCAGTCTGGCTCTGGGCACGAGCGATGGCTCCGACTTTGTATGCCTCTGCCTGGTCTTTCTCTACGGTAGCCCATATCACCTTGCTATCGAGGGCGGATTGGAAGGCAAGGGCGGTCTCTGAGCGCAGGGTATCAAGCTTCGGCCGATAATCGAGATTCCGCGCTGTCCGTTGACCGTCGTGAGCTTGCGTGACGGCAGCAGAGTGCACTCGCACCTGTCAACTCCTCATTGGCCCGCAGGAGCGCGTCATGCTCGTCGTAGAGTGCTATGGTCGAAGGCAGCGTGCCAAAGAAAGCATCAAAGTACTCGGGATCGCTTAGTAAGGCTTCTAGATCGTCTCGCCTGCTCGGTTGTGCCAGATCAGCTCCGGCAGATGCAGCAGTCTGCGCAGCTGACGATAAGCTTGACAGTCGCTCTTGGCACTCTTGCATGAAGTCTTGGCTCTGAGTTGGACCGTAGACATTCATGCCAGGCCTGTGAGAGAGCTACTCGGGTCGCAAGCCGGCGCAGGCAGGTGCGATACTAGATGACAGGGACAGTCGACAAAGGCGCGGAGACGCGGAGACGCGCTGGGATTGGCAGCTTGGCCGGCTTGGCCGTAGTAGTGCATGTCGTCAGACGCAGACGAGGATGGCGCAGACGAAGCCGGCTTCCCCTTGCTGGCGCGGATCCGCTTGCCTGATCCAGGCTCAGTCTTGCAAGCTGCGTCTGCCAGCTCGAGCGAGCCAAAGAGCTTCCTGTCAGCTCTCAGCAATGCCCAATCTCGATCAGCCAAGCAGGTCAGCACAAAGCCGCACAGCCGCTTCTACGAGGCCTGATTGATCACAATCAGAGCTCGAGCAATGTCGGCAAAGGAAGCTACAGACTCTCCAGAAACTCGTGCTGCCCGACAATGGACGTCATCGCGTTGATGTGCGCATCCGAGGAACAAGACAGATCACTCGAAGTCGTGTCTCTCTACCGCGGCTCAGGGAAGGTCTGGGACTGGCATGATCCCGAGCTCCCATCAGAGAGGATACACACAGATCTTGTCTGGTCGCCCGACGGCAGAACGCTCGCCTACGTGGTCACGACGCGCCAGAGTGTCAAGGTGCAGCTACTCAGCGTACACGATGCCGCCATACAGAGCATAACCACCATCGAGAACACAGGAGAGATCCCTAGCGAGCAGACTGCGCTGCCCATATGGTTCAGCCTGAGTAAGTCGAGCAATATCAAGCGCGGTCTGGCGTGGTCAACTTTTGAGGAATCACTGTACCGCCTCCCTGTGCCCGCTTGCCATACCGACAACGTCAAGGAACCTGTATCGTTTGCGCCGCTGGTCTCTCAGGAGCAATCTCGTTTCTTCAAGCCAGCCGAGCGCGATGTGTCCATCCTAGCTCTTCCTCACGCAGATGCGATCACAGCTACCTTACTGCTCGATGGCCGCCACAGCCTCGGCAATGTTGCTTTGAGAGCGGGTCCATCCTCTGTCACATCAAGATGTGTTGAATACCTCCCCACGCCCAATGAGCTGGTCACCATAGCCTCGACTGGCTCAATCTCCCGCATCTTGCTCGATCTGCCCTACGATGGCATCCTACCTCTCATGCGCACCTGCGAAGACGTGCAAGAATGGCTGCGGACGGCCAAATCGGCCATACAGCCTGCAGTGGATCGATGGAGGGAGCATACCCAGCTCGGATATGAGTGGCTGACGCAGCTCAATGGACGCATCGCTAGCGAGTCGCAGAGCGACACATCTGGTCAGTCTCTCGATTCCTTCGCTTTCGGGCAATGGAGCTCACCTCACCCTAGCGGAGCAATACTCTGCGTGTACACAGATCTACACGCTGCTCGCCACTGGCAAGTGCACGCCGGCAGTCACCGAATATCTCGGCACGAAGCTTACCGAGCGTGTAGGCTCTTTCGCATTTGCTGATGTGCAGCTGATTGTTCCGACAGCTTCTGGACAAGTGGGAGCACAAGGCCAAGGACGCCATCGCAAGCACGCTACTGGCGAGTCGGCAGATCGTTGCGCCACTGATGGAGCGAGTCATCATGAGGGTAGACCACGCATTGGCGTGCTCTGTTAGGCCAGTATGACTTCACAAGCAGTACGATTGGCTGACGACCAATGTAGTGGGAGACATTGGACCCAATTTCAGCTACACCAAGAAGAGCTCGAGAGGTGCAGGAATATGGCTCTGTTTTGCTTTACCGCTGCATACCGCGTGCACAAACTGAGTCTTATCGAGCAACGGCGCACCTTACATTTTTTCAGCTTTCTGAGATTTGGTGCGATTCGCTCCGCTCGTGGGATACTCGTATATTGACATGGCTGACGGCGTCACCAGAGATGCAGATGCTCGCGCAGGATGCTACCGAGACAGAAGCCTCCGTATCGGCAAATCATGACGCCCTTGAGGCGTCGCGCTTCATCCGATCGACGCTGTCTACCGTCAGCAAGCAATCAGACGAGACCAGCGGGTCAGCTCACGATCACGAGCTCGCGCGATACTTGAACGACGATGTCAAGGCAGGGGAGGAGGAAGAGCTCAGCCAATACATCGACCCATCAAACACTAAAGCGCGCGCGTCCGCAGAGCTCGAGCGAATGCGGCAAGCATACCGCGGTCTGCTTACATCGCGGACAATATCCGCACCAATGCAAGCAAAAGCATTGCCAATCTATCCGCTTGCAATTGCTCTCGACTCTCTTGAGGCGTCACTCGTCGCTTGTCTGAAGCGCGGAATGCAGCAATCAACAAGCAGCTTGAGAGTTGTCTCAGCGGCCACATCATCCGCGCGTGCAGTCCGTCTTCAAGACCAGCATGTGGTAAGCAACATGGCTTATTCGTCGGACTTGCTGAGATGCGAGGGCAGACGGCCTCGTCGGATCTCGTCATTGCCACTGCATCGGATAAGGGTACGGTGCTGACTGTCGCTTTCAGCGCTTTATACTGACACATCCATTTCAGTCGTTGAGGTCGTGTGCTACGATGGCCTTGGCATGCTCACAACTTCAGATGCCAAGTCGATCAACTTCGATGCGCCACTGCAGTCGATCCTCGCGCTTCGCATCTTCGATGCTAGCGACCTTATCATGTTGAGTGAGACGATGACCGGTAGGCTTCGAATGTGTCTCGGATCAGTACAGTACGCTTACGAGCGACGGCAGATGGCAAGCTGCGACACATGCTCAGTATGCTCTCGTATGATAACGATGGCAGAGCACCTCGTCACCAATCGCTCGATTCGATGCCAGAGGATATCGCACTCAACGGTCGAGCAGGTCGAAAAGTCGCTGGCTTACTTTGCGAGCGCGGTCGATCGCTTGAGCTTCTCGATCTCAGCTTTGACGATGAAGTCGAGGAAGACGATGATCTGATCATGTCTGACAACCATGACTGATGCATTCATAGACGCGCACGGCCATACACAAGACCGTATTCATCAGCGGGCGACGTTGAACTCGCCAGAATGTCGTCTACTGCGCGCACTGTCTCGTACAAACCACCCTCTGCGATCCAGAGCTGCGCACTCGCGCGTGCCTCAATGCAATCGGCATCCTGGCCAGCATGGCACCAGACGGCATGCTGAAGCAGGAATATACTCGATGCGATGTGGCCGATAAGATGAAGATTGTGCCGCAAGATGCGTGAATCAGTGGACTGTGCTGCCGGCTCAAGCCGAGTCATTGCATCTCTGACAGCGCTAGTAGCAGTTTGAAGCTGCAGATTGTCGGTCACGCTGGCAAGGTGCTTGTCACAGAAAGTGCCGAACAATCTGAGCGCTTCGCCATTGCCCTTGCGTATGAAACGCATAACATCGTCCGCAAGTACGGCCTGGGTGCCTTCCCAGACTCTTTCCACGACATTATCCGCCATGAGCTCGCCGATGCCCGTTTCGACCATGTAGCCCTGTCCGCCCATGCTTTCCATGGCCTCTGCCATCAGCCAGACGACCCGCGCCGCAGTGAAGGCTTTCACTACTGGCGTGAGTAACCGGAGGTTACTGTTGAGCAATTCTGTGCACATATCAGGTGCTGCTTCGGATAGGCCAAGCATCTGAACGACGCCAAAGCTGAAGTGTAGCAGAGCGCGATGCGTCACAGCAAGCCGACTGAGGATGTGCGTGTGCAGCTCGTTTTGCTCGAGGGGCTTGCCGCGTATGATACGGACCCGAGCGAACGCTTTGGCCAGGTCAATACATTTGTGTAGACAGCCGATCGAGCCTATAGCAGAATGCAAGCGAGTGATATTGAGCACAGGCGATATCGTCTTGACGCCTTGACCGAGACGGCCAACAAGGTGTCCCTGAGTCCATTTGAGTTCAAGCTCAGCCGTCGGCAGCGCCTTTGTGCCTATCTTGCGCTTCATTCGGTGTATCCTGATGCCGTTCCTCCGCTTCTCTGGCTCATCGTGCTCTTCTAGCCGAGTTCGAACGAGGAATAGGCTCAGCTTGCCCTTTTGTGCTGGTTCGTCGCTGACTGTGCGAGCCAGTGCAAGAGCTACCTGGCCATCCGTAGCGGACGAGAACCACTTGAAGCCGTCTAGCCGGAAGGGCGCACCCTCCTCGTCTGCAAAGTAAGATGAGGCCCTCGCCGTCGTCTCTGTCGCCGTATTGACATCTGAGCCTCCCTCACGCTCTGTCATCCACTGTGCTGCCATCCAAGATTTCGTAGAGTCGTTTGATAGCAAGCGAGGAAGGACCTCCTCGCGCATCTCGGGCGTGCCCTGGAGCTCCAGTACGCGCGCGGCACCGTCGGTCATGCTCAACGGGCAGCCGACAAGCTTGGATTCGGGTGCGAAGAGGTAGATTTTGGCAAAGGAGTGTATTCTCGAGTGCTCGCCGTGCTCTCGTCTGTATGCCAGGGAGACGAGGCCCTCTTGTGCGGCGACGCCCTTGATTGCGCGCCAGCCTTCACTTGTGACGAGTCGATCGATACGCCTGCCGTAGTTGTCATACTGTACAACATGGGGCTCTGGCTCATCTGCTGCTCGCTTGAGCGTCTGATGAGACTCTGAAGCGAGATAGAGGCTGAATCGCTGCAAGTCGCCGTCGACGGCGGGTAGGATATCGGGGGGCAACAAGCGACGCAAGAGTGCCTGAAGCGCTAGATCAGATGCATAGCCATCTGTATCGAGCGGCGCAAGCTGCTGAAAGCCCTCGCTGATCAGCATGAAGTCAGACTCAGAAGCCCAGGGATGCGGAGGTGCTCGCTCGGGGCTCGCTGCTCGCGTAGTTAGCGCGCGTGTCTCGATGTTGCGCAGAGCAAGCCAGGATTGGAGCATCATGACAGGCCCATCGTCACAGACAGAGCGAGACTAGAGGTGCGATCAGCTAGCGGACATGCCAACGTACGCTGCTTGCCCGTCGAACGAGCTCCGCGCTGATGCCCGCCTGTCAAACCCGTTTTGTGTGACAGTGACATCGAGGCAAGTCGCAGCTATTCACGAGGCTTGGTCCTTCCCCTGAGCTAATCACGGGCCTGCAGAGCGTTCTGGTCAACCAGCCCATCGTCATCGACAATGTCCGCGCATGCTCGTCAAAGGCGTTCGTCCAGCTGAACATGACTTGCATCTCAGGGCTCTGGCACGGTCAAGGCTGGCTTTGCAGGCTCAGATCATCCTGCATGCTTCTTTCCCGCCTAGTAAGCTCGCTTGTCATCTCGGTCGCTTCTCGCGCTGATGCCTCGGGAGACAGTGTCGGACGACCCAAGCACACGCGCGTCATGGCAGGCAGCGTCGAAGGCGACATCTTCATCGGCAAGCGGGCACAGGAGCTTAGAGGTCTCCTCAAGGTGCTCGCGGATGACTCTGCAAATACTGCGTGCTGATGGGCATCTAGCTCAAATACCCAGTCGAGCATGGCATTGTGACCGATTGGGACGACATGGAGCGAATATGGAATCACATCTACACAGAAGAGCTGCGCACGCTCTCAGAGGAGGTCAGGCATCGCTATGCAAGCAATGCGCCGAGTTCATGGGATTTACCTTGTCCAGCATCCTGTCTTGCTGACCGAAGCTCCTCTCAATCCCGCAAGCAACCGAGATGTGGCGGCGCAAGTCTTTTTCGAAACCTTCAATGTGCCCGCGCTCTTCACATCGATACAAGCTGTTCTTGCTCTGTATGTCGTCATGCACGGTCTTCAGATCCCAGAGCTCAGCGCGAGCAGATATGCGTCCGGGCGGACGACCGGTATTGTCTTGGACTCGGGCGATGGCGTGACGCACGCAGTACCCGTCTTTGAAGGCTTTAGCATGCCCCATGCGATACGGCGTGTCGACATCGCCGGCAGGTGCGTCCACTGCATTGACGCCTCGCACATGCGCTGAGATGCGGAAACGGCGCAGAGATGTGACAGAGTACCTCCAGCTATTGCTCCGGAAAGGCGGACATCAACTACATACATCTGCGGAGCGCGAAGTCGTGCGAGTCTTGAAGGAAAAAACTTGCTACATCGCCCTAAATCCGCAAAAGGAGGAGAAGGAAGCCATCTCGACTGGCCGATCGGAAAGCTACCAATTACCAGACGGTCAGATTGTCAAGGTTCGTCGAGCGAGCATTGCCTGCAAGCGCAAGCTCACGCGAGCCGCAACAGCTCGGCAGCGAACGCTTCAGAGCACCCGAGATACTTTTCAACCCAGAGCTCGTCGGGCAGGAGCATGCGGGCATACATCAGATCATTGTGGATTCGATCAACAGGACAGATCTCGATCTGCGCAAGACTTTGTTCTCGAATATCGTCCTGAGTGGCGGCTCGACGCTCACAAAAGGTGGAGACCTGCAAGTCCTGTCTCATTCCAGCTGATTGTCGAGCTCCACAGGGTTCGGCGATCGAATGCTTGCAGAAGTGAAGAAGCTGGCCATGAAGGAGATCAAGATCAAGATATTCGCGCCGCCTGAGCGGAAATACTCAACCTGGATCGGTGGTTCGATTCTGGCAGGCCTGAGCACTTTCAAGAAGATGTGGGTCTCAGCCGATGAGTATCAAGAGGATCCTGGGATCAGTAAGCTCGTCCAGATCCCAGTCCAAGGCCAGCTGACGTTCGAGATTCGTAGTCCACAAGAAGACGTTTTGACCGATTGCACAAGCAGTTAGCAACAACAATTGTTGTACAATAACTCGGGAGAGGACTCAAAAAAGGGTGCTAGCCTTTCGCGGCAAGGGACGCATAGGACAAGGCTACAAAGGCCTCTGGCTCGCGCGTCACTTGAACTCCCGTCTGGACACTGTCAATGACGTCGTCTGGTGCAGGCGGTGGCTCGACCCAGCCTTGGGGCACAAGGCAGGGGAACTGCAAGCCGAGCCAGGCAGCTCGATTGATCCAACCTGGCGCGTGTCTGCCGGTCAATCTGAACGCGAGCTCGTCTGATGCGTGGTTGCAATTAGCGGTGATGAGGTTGTAGCTCGTGCCTGTCCAGTCTTGGTCTCGCTTGAAGCCGTCGATGATGCGCAGCACTCGCTCGAGCGATCTCGAACGCGTAGAGTGGTCTGGCTTGTCATTCGGGCTTGTCGACCTCGATGGGAGGAGGTGCTGTCGACTGCCGGAAGAGGTGTCGTACGGCATATAGCGCTTGTTCTGCGCCTCTGATGGCACCGGTTCGGCAATCACGTCGCCCATATCTGCTCAAGGCTTCAGGCAAAGATGTCTGCATCGACATGCGAGTCCTCACGTATCGATCTGACAAAGCGCAACCCTGGTAGGGGTGCTTGGTCATTGGCCACGATCGGTAGAGCGAACAGGCCACTCGTGCCTGGTTGAGGATGGCCCCCAAAGGCAAACTCGAGTCCTATCGAGGGTATCCGTATGGCCGAATGATATATGCCCACGCCTGCTGCAAAGGCGAGCGAGGCAAGTCGAGACTCCGGTAGCAGGTCATACACTGCCAGCTCGATCCTGACCGGCGTGTCACGCTCCATGGCCGGCTACGACGAGGGTGCAGAGGGAGGTGCGAGCGCGGGAGGTTGGCGCAGCTTGGCGCCTGGTTTGGCGCGACTGCGTACTGCGCATACCTGGCCGGCACCAGGGCACAGCAGATCTTGAGATCTTGAGACCTCGAGACCCCGCAGAGCTACGATGCTGCTCAGCAACCCACCCCCACGGGCCTGATGAGACTCCATCCTCGACCTGTGGCCCTCGATATACCGACCAGCAGAACCGGGACAGCATGACGCCGTTGACTGTCAAGGCCGTCCTGACTGCTACTGGCCACACCAGGCGTCTCACGTTCCCGGACACAGACTCATTCACATATGACTTGCTCAGTGAGAGGCTGGCCCAATCGTTCGGACTGCCTGGCCACGTACACTCGCCCACTCGAGATCCGTACGATGGCCCAGACGAGCCATCGAGCCGTCAAGGCAGCTACTCAACCAATAGCTGCGCCGGCTCCCTCAGGATATCCTTTCAGGACGATGACGGCGATCAGCTTGCCGTTGAAAACGATGATGACCTACTGGAAGCTATCAACTTCTTTGCAGGCGACGATGTCGACGCCGCGCCAAGTATAGTCACCCAGAGCGACTCGATCTACGCTCGAGCTATGACGTACAAAGATCCAAAGCAGAAGCTCTTGCTCAGACTCTCCATCGCCTGGATACAAGAAGCTGACGATGCGCCTAGCTTGAGTGAGAGTGAGGATGGCGAATCCCTCAGTCAGTCTCCCATTTCCGTCAGCACACCGGCCACGCGAGGCTCCGTCAAACTCTGGGAGCTGAAGCCACCTGCTCCTTTACATGTCACCAACGGCCTTTCTCCCGTGTCGGCCAGGCTCAATGAGGCAGTACCGCCAATGCCCGCAACACCCAATACTATCGACAAGCTGCCCTTTGATCCGCGCAGAGACGGTAGTTGGTCTGGCCGTGAAGCGTTCCATCGCTCTTGGCATGCGAATAATGTCTCGCAACAGCCACCGTCGGTCGTGTCTGCTCCGGACAGTCAGCTTGACGATGCCACCAGCTTAGCGGGCACAAGCGTTTCCCGGAGCATTTCTGTCGCTACCGCTCAATCCTCGACAGACCCGACTCGTCATCTTCAGCGGAACGAGCGACGATCGAGTTTAAGGCGAGTGCCAGGACACCTCCTGAAATGTGCAGAGTGCAAAACGCAGATGCACGAAATCCGCTACGTCTGTCAGATCTGCGGGCCACTGCGACCTCACGCGGCGCAAGATCCCGATCTCTGGTCGCCCTCTACAGCTCGAGACATTGACGAAGACATCAAAGAGACCCCTGAGCTATCCGAACCAGACGACAACGACGATGCGCGGAGCGTACACACTTTATCCGGCAATGAGCAAGCCTCCACCTCTTCAGAGACCAGGGATGACGAGGAGGAAACTTGCGGTTATGAGCTTTGTCCACATTGCGTCGAGTACGCGGGGCCCGAGCATTCTAGGCGCGACCATCGCACGGTAGCCTTTCCAGCTGCCTTTTGCGAAGTCGCTTGCTCACCAGATGGCTACTGGAGCGAGACGGGTATGCGGCATCCCTTACTTTCTGTTCGTCCCCGCTGACGTTGGTACTGCAGAAGAATTGTCAGAAGCGCTGGCATGCACACTCTGCGGAGCATCCAATCTCGTCCGTTGGCGCTGTCTCAGCTGTGCAAAGCTCGCTCTCTGTTACGATTGCTTTGCGAAAGCGCCCAACTTTCATCCGCAGCACTGCTTCGAAGTTCTCCCTGCTTATCTGTTCTCGCCTCCTGCAACCCGTGCGCCTTCACTCGTACAGAAGCGTCTCGCGAACTACCGCGCACGCTCAACAACTGGACAGTCTGGCTTTTCGAACAGCTCGAATCTGACGACCATCCATTCTGATGCCATCTGCCACCGCTGTCTCGATCAGATCGTCGGTCCGCGCTATCATTGCGCGGTCTGTCGCGATGTCGATCTGTGCAGCCAATGCGAGATCCACGAGGCTCAGTCAGATCACTCTGACATCGGGCCCCATCATCATGCAGACCATGTCATGCTCAAGATCAATGTTCCCATCACAGACGACCAATTGCTCAGCCTGATCACTTCTCGTGTCAGAGACCTCTGGCATCCTATCAGGCCCCCGCGAAGGGGCAGTGGCGATAGCGGCTCGGACGACGGATCTGATCATCCTCACCGTGGCGGTGTGGGATGGCGGAAACGTGGCGGCTGGCGCGGTCACCACCACTCTCATCACCATGGCCATCATCATGGGCCGCCGCCTCCTTGGGCACGCAATGACTGGAGGGATCATCCTGGTCCTCCCGGACCGCCCTACGGACCGCCGGACCATCGGCCGAGCTTCCCACCGCCGCAGCCTGTCTATCTCGTCAACCCGACCAGTCCCACAGCGCCCATGAACCTGGCCCAATTGCCTCTGTCTGCCTTCTCTCAGAAACATGGGGCGATCTGTCAAGCATGCCAGGAACACATCGTAGGCGTCCGCTATCGATGTGCAATGTGCGAATCGACGAGACAAGCACGCTCCTTTGACCTCTGCTCGCGCTGCGAGCCCATCACACATCATCCTCGCACACATGTCTTCTTGATGATCCGCACTCCTCGACACGCATTCGCACAGCTTCTCTTGCCAGATTCGTTGTACGATAGCAACACTATCGACGAAAGTCGTGCCACCCTACATACCAAAGTCAGATGCGACGGCTGCCAGTCGTCGCCCATCGTCGGCGAATGGTATCGCTGCCTCAATTGTCGCGAGGGCTACGATCTTGTTCGTCCATGCAGAGAGTACTATACTGTGCTTGTGTTGACTTGATACGCAGTGCCGCACCTGCATCACCAACAACGCACATCCGGCTGAACATTGCTTTCTCAAGCTGTCCAGGAGGTGCGCCTCAGGCAATGCTCGCGACGCCTTTGCTAACGCATGTACATCCAGGGTAGATATGGACGCATTCAAGGTCATGCTAGCGTCGATCTGACCCTTGTTGTACACGAACATGTCACTGCCAAGCGTCGAGCGACCGCGCATTCCTCCTCTTCGTGTCGTGTCGCGTTCTCGGGGCCTCGAAGAGACGGCCAACGAATGGGCAAGAAGCGTACCATCAGCATCAACGGATTGGGGCAGGGTGGGCTCTGAGCATGATGGAGCTACTCAGTTAGACCAGCATGGACTTCTTCAAGCGCAAGGGACGCCCTTCGACGCTCGTCGTGCCATCTGCGGTCTCGACTTCAGCGAGCGTGCAGCTGCAAGAAGGCAATGCTCGAGCAGACCTTGCGACCGCCCCCGGCACCATGACGGCTTCGTCGAGTAGCTCGGAGTCCTTCAAGAGCAGCAAGGAAGCAGTCTCGAGCTCATCCTCCGACGCCCAACACGGGCAGCAATACTCGGAGCGCCGGCTTGTTCTACCGGACACTGTGAGTGCAAAGGAGGCGGACACCTTCATGCCTGATGAGCTTCTGCGAGCACTCGATCGTGATCCGAGCCTGTCGCCCAAACCGGCCTTGCTGGGCCAGTCTGCTGGTCTGGCCAAGTCGCTTGGCCCGCCTGTCAGCGGTCAAAGTCTCAACAGCGGCACGATTGGCCTCATGGACGACCATGGACAAGCCGTGCAAGTAGCATTCCCTACCAATCAGACTACGCCGACCCGTTCGAATGGCAGCAGACGGACCACAGGCATCGGTCCGAGCCATTCGGACGGAATTGCAGCCGCAGAATTGCCTACCCTACCTGCTATGAGCCCATTCGCAATGACCGCGTCTCCGAGTTCAACTCCTTCGCCGCACCCAACTGGCGTGCTCGCAGCGCAGTCCACCTACCATCCCAGCGCTGCAGATTCGAGACAGAGCGCCATCAAATCTGTCCTACAGCAATCCTTTGCCGCCGATCCTATCGCACCTACTGCTGTGACAGTTCCTGCGACCCTCCTGACGCCGGTAAAGACGACGTCGAGGCCGATCACAGCAAGCTTGTCACCCTCCCAGCGGCTGCATGCAGCCATGTTCGGCGAGCCAGAGCTAGATCCCGTCACCTCAGAGCCTCATAGCTTATTGCCAAATGCACCTTCCACCTCGGAAGAAAGTCCGCACAGTCGCTCGACTTCGCTCGAAATGACTTCTGCGAAAAAGTCGATTTATCCTACCGACTACACCGATCGCAAAAGCATGCCTGCTTTCATTTCACAGGCACCGCAGTCTGTCGTGCAAAGTACGTCCGAGGACATGCTCGAAACTTCTCTGCCGCGCGAGAATCATGTCGTCGACATCATGCAAGCGCGACATCGAAGATCATCAGAGACGTTGACGAGAACAAATCAAGAGGAAGAATTATCGCCTCTGGAATCAGCTGAGGAGCGCGCGTTTCCATCAGTCGGAGCTTCTCCGACGAGCCCAGGCTCAAGCTTCACTGATCGGCTTCGATCTCATAGACTGCGTGCTGCTGGACCGGATCTGTCGCTCAGACAGGATGAGGAAGCTCCTTCGCCGCCACCGAAATCGCCTCACATGCTACCGCCCATTCATGATGCTTCGACGAAACGATCGACAGCCAAACCGGCGTCTAGCACGTCTCAGGTCTCCAGTCAGCAGCGCGCTATGCTCGCTGCTCTCATCACTTCTGAACAGCCTCAGCAATCGTCGATCGCCCCTCCCTTGACAGCGAGCACCGCGAGTCGTACCAGCATGAGCAGCACAGAGCGCTCAATTGCTGGCGAACACCACTGGCAAAGCACTTTAGATCGCGATCGACTCGGATCGGATACCCCGCAACGACGCTCACACGCCGACTTTGTGATCGCCGTCATTGGCGCTCGAGGCGTTGGCAAGACGACCATAATTCACAGAGGCTTGCGTAAACCACTGGGAACGGAGATCAGAGGAGAGCCTGGCGGCATCATATGCTATTCCGCCGCTGTCATCGCCGGCGGACAGAACAGGCTCATCGAGGTCTACGAGTTGACTGACGAGCATGTCTCTATGAGCACAAGCGGTCTGTCTCTGCCCAATGCTGTACCTCAAATCGACGGTGCCATGCTTTGTTATGATGCCTCGAATCCCGGCGCACTGACGGGCTTGCGCGGACTGCTCAATGCCTTCTGGCGCAGAGGAGGTGTCAATCTCATCGTACTCGCATGTAAATCCAGTCCTATCGAATCACAAAACGCAGTTTTGCCCATGCGCGCTGCCGAAATGTGTACAGTCTACGGTGCGGGCATTGTTCAGCTGGACGGCGGTCTTGCGGATCCGTCGAAGAAGACCCGAAACAGCTTTGGTTGGCTCATACGCTCAATTCTGGAGACTCGCGGACTGCAAGTCGGCGCAGATAGCTCGTCTCGAGGCAGTAAAACTCTGAGCGCCCAAGCCGAGTCGCGCACTTGGACAGAGATGGAACCACGCGACGTCCCCGAACATTCTCGCCATTCGTCGCCAGCGGCCTATCTCCGTCGCCAATCGGTCGACCGGCAGGGTCCGCCGCGCAACGATCTAGGTCTAGGCACTGTACAGTCTGCTCCAGTCAATGGTGAACCACAGGATCGCACTACTTCCCTTGAGAGTCGGCTGTCCATATCGGAGGATTCCCGTGAAGCAAGCACGCCGCGTTCTCGGCACAGTGTCGTTAGTGTGTCCTCAAAGTCATCGGCTGGTGCTCCCAGCTCAGCCGGCTCAATCCTCATAGACCGACGGAGCTCAACGCAGGGCAATTCGATTTTGTGCGTATTGCCTTCGTCGAGCACATAAGTCGTCTGCTCATCCGCGCACATAGAGGTGGTTATTCCGGCAGGAGCGTAGCTGCGGACGTGTATCATTCCACCGACGAAGTCATCGACAAATTCCTCTTTGCAGCTGTCACTGGCAATGGTGGGTCCCTCACCAAATGCAGTAGCTGTATTCACATTCGGGACAGATGAGCAGCAGGTCGTCCTCTTCTTGATCATCTATCGGCGCTTTGCTGCACCGGCCCACGTCCTCAAAAAGCTTATTGAGCGATACGAGTTCGTTTCGACGCGCCTGAAAAGCGATCCTGTTCTTAGCCGATACGCTCATACCCGGCTGTGCAGCGTGCTCGCCGATTGGCTCGAGTACTACCCTGGCGATTTCACTTCTGTCCGCGTCCGCGCGCTGATCAAGCCATTTCTGGAAGGTCTGGTTTTGCAGGCGTACGTAAGCCGATACGCAATAGAGCTATTGCCGATGCTGCGTAAGCTTGAAGATGCGGATGACCTCGATAATTATTGGGCCTGCCCAGACCCTTCCGTAGAGAGTCCTGTTCCAGAAGCCGTAGAGGCTATCGCGCCGCCTCAGATCCCAGCGAACGCAAGCAGCATCGCGTCACGGCTCTCCGTCAGACCATCAACCGATACCTCTCGGATCATTCATCAGAGCAGCAATCTCCTGGCGACTGCGATATCACTTCTGAACGACACAGAGGATGCAATAGCCGAGCAGATTTCTCGCCTTACCTGGCGAGCGTATCTGGTCATGTCTGTAAGTCTCAAACGCAGACACGTCATATGGCATCGATGATGCTGATACCTACACAGTCTCGTGACCTCATTCGTTACATACTTGCTCCACGCAACCCTACAGATCCGAGCGGGTCCAGGCTGCGAGCAGCAAATAATCCAGTCACACGAGCGATTTCATGGGTCAATCACTTGTCCAATTGGTGCGTGCACACCTCAGAGATCCGCGCCGTCCTTACTGTGCTTCAGGGTGGCGTCGGTCATACTGATCCTTCCTCGCGCAAAGATGAGGGCTCGGATGATGGAAAAGATGATTGGCGTCGCGGTCCGCCTGCGCGAGACTGACAATTACGACGCCCTGATGGGACTCCTGGCTGGGCTCAACTGTCAACCGCTCTATCGTCTCGAAAATACACTCGATCTCATCAAGGATCGGCCTCTGTTCAAAAAGTTCAAGAGTCTCAACCGACTCATGTCCTCAACGCGCTCTTTTAGCGCGTACCGCATGGCTCTCTCGACATCTCGACCCTTCGTCATACCGTACATGTATGCCCACGCACGCCGCTCAGTGATGGTGACTGAAGAGCTCCTTGGACAGAGGCTGTCATCTACAAGATCTCGCTCGGCTCGATGAGGGCAAAAGCGACATGCGCAGCGGGCTCATTAACTGGACGAAATTCCAGCAGATGGCGAAATCAGCTGCGACTGTATTTGACTGCCACAAATTTGCACCCGAGCTCGCAGTGGATCAAGGCGTAACCAATCGTGTTATGAATGACGCCATATTCGACCTTAATGACAATGTGCGTCATAGCTTCGTCTAGGTCGCGCGGGGATTGACGATAGGACAGGCGCTCTATGAGCTTAGCTATCAATATCAGCCGAGAGCAACTAGCGCGTCTTCTGCACCCAGCGCGCTCCGACGGATGTTTGACAACGTCCGCTCATGAATGACGGTACACACGATTTTGTTGTTGATGCTTGTACAAAAGTGCGTTCAGGAGCTAAGCACGCCTCTCTCTTCTTCCCCCTGCTGTTGCTCCATCTCTTCCTTGAGCGACTGAATGATCTCGTGGCATTCCGACATTGTTGCGTGCAATATTGCTTGGCCTTCTGGTACGTCTCCACTGGCGCCCATGAACTTGCCGTCGACCCGAATAGCGTCAATCTGCGGATTACCATAAGAGAGTGTTCAGATATGACAATCTCAAGCCGCGTCCACGTACCTGTGAAAGCGCGAGCTGGTACGGATACAGGTCGCGAGTGGAGTAGGGACCGCCATACCGTGACAGCTCCGTAAGACACTGTGGACTGTAAGCATCGACGGGGGGCGTGACAATGCGCAGCTTACACGTTTGACGGTCGACAATTTGTTTGCTATCGGCATGAGCTCCTCTGCTATCGGCTCAGAGGACGCCATGAGTCGGTAGATGAGGCCATAGCATCGTCGCAGCAGATAGAGCAGGACCTGCTCGCGGTCAGTACGAAGCCAGTCGATGGTCAGAGTACACACCAGCTGACCGTCCGGCTTGTTGCCCTCGCTGTCGACAAACCGACCGTCAACCCGCATGCTGTCGATCTCTTGAAGTGATATTTGATAATTGTAAAGATCCTGGGATCCAATGGTCAGCAAACTCGGGCCACAAATGTGCGGCGACTTGCTGTCTCGCGTAGTGTCCATCGATGCGTGAGAGTGAGTCGCTCGAGCTGAGCTCGCATCTCGCTCAGACGATCATAGATCAATTTGAGCGGCGGCGCGACGTCCTCGCCCCTTGCTGCGATCTCTTCGCAGAGATCAAAGTTATTGGACAAGATGCCCGCCAACAGTGCTTGACCCTCCGGGACAGATGAGCCGCCCGGCCCTAGGAATTTGCCGTCGACGCGCTTTCTGCGCTCATCGATCAGACAACGACCTGCCGATGAACGGTAAGAAACGAACGAGTCTATCGTCCGCAGCTCCTCCTTGAGAACTTCAATGTCGGCCTTGTTCATCTTGGCTGTCGGCTTGGAGTATATTGCGGCAAGCTGCCTCCTGATGGTTATCAGACGCTGATGTATAGGCACGAGCTCGTGGCTCAGCCGTGAAAGGCCTTTGACGAGGACATCGACCATTTTCTCTGCGGCAATGATGAGCTCTCGAGCAGATCGCGAACGACAGTATGATATCGTACGGCAGTCATTGTGCTTCTTGAGAAGCAGCTTGGTCAGCGCGGCCGGATTGTCCGAGCTGACGATGATCTCTCGCAGCTCAGTCAGGCGTGTCTGAAAGGGTGCGAGATCGTTCTCCGTGTAGATGCCGCTCTCGTTCATGTGGTCGAGAAGTTGCTGTCCAAACAAGCCCGCTTTCAGACGATGATGATCGTCTGGAGTACGAGTCGCAAACCTTCATGGTCGCCAGCTGACAGTAAGATGCCGGTGATTCGCGCGACTTGCCGATGGTGAGAAAGAAGAGCGAGAGGAGCTGGAAAACGTCGTTGAGTGTTGTATCTAGCCTATTGGCTTGGTCTGGCTCGAGAAAGTCGGCAGGCGCTGACGCGGAGGATGGGGATCCGCTGCTGGTCGTCGACGAATCTGCCGCTGCCGATTTGGCATCTCGGGTGTCGCGCAAATCGTTCAGCTTGGTGACTGATGACGGCTCCGTCAGCACACGGTGGAGAGCCTACCCTGGGCCACCGACCTTGCTTGATGACGGCCGAGAAGATGTTGAGGACATCCTGAGCGCGCACGTACTCTGACCTGTCTTTCTTGAGAGCTGTCAATCTATTTCTGATGCTGTCATCGCACGAGCGTGACCGCGTGAGCTCCTGCGATGCTGCCGAAGCATGTTGACTGACTTGACGAGCGCTTCGAGGATGGGCAACTCCTCCGAGGGCACAGGCATGGTCGGGAGCTGTATATTCTGTCGGGCTGCTGAAGCTGATGTGTTCGTAGCGGGCGCTGCTCAGACGATAGCGTCCTTGCGCTCGAGGCCAGATGCCGGCTTGATCAATTTATATTGCGCGACCGCGCGACCATCGCGACTTTTTTCCTGGGCTCGGGCTGATCAATCTCAAGGCTCGAGCCCTATCCTGATGGCAGATTCTCCGCGATGACAAGCTTATTCCGATGCTGCGGCAAATGTCTATGATCTGCAGTCGGACAGATTCCAGATCCACGGCAAACAATTTTGCATCGTCTGCGCCCTGAGCGAGCAGTCCCATTGAGCCAGCCTGAGCGACGCAACCCTTCCTTCCAGGCAGGGATCAATCGTGCAAGAGATAGCCTGTTCTACTTCACGTCTGGATGTGGCCAGGCAGCCGCCGCTTGACGCCTTTGATCAGAAAGATACCTATTTGCATCTGCTTTGTGCAGCGCTCGACGGAGTTTCCAAGTTGGGCGAGCACATTCTTCCACCAGCTTACATCTATAGCCATCAATATGAAGTGGCGCGTCTTGCGCGATTTGCTTGCGTCACAGCACAAGAGATTTTGTATATCTTGTCGCAGTAGTCATGGCCGTGGCTGTCGCAAGGAGAACCGCAACAAAGTATACGGCAAAATTCCTTGGTCAGGTAAAGAGCAACGCCGGCATGCACTGAATGCGCGAATTCGAAAGTCGCCCGAAAGTCCGCTCGTCGGAGTGAGTGGCATTGCCTGAACCTTCATTTCCTTGCATCAGCCGATTGTGCTAGCGCTTGCTGTGATCTCCCATCTTGAGAGTGCAGAGAGCTGAGAGACCCAGAGCGAGGGCGGATCGTCTACGAATGCCAGTGCTTTGATTGGCTCCTCGAATTGACGTTGCGTCAGGCCACCGAGCTGGCCACCGATCTCCTGCTTGCCCGTTCGCAGTGACCAGAGCCTGACTTGAGCGTCTTGACCGGCCAGTGCGAGGATCTCGTCGTTGTAGATGTCGCAGCCCAGATCTCTCATGTAATGATTGATATGGCCCTCAAGCGTCATGAGTGGCCTTTGAGACTGTATGAAGCGAGTGTCGAGCATTTCGACATCACCCTTCATGCCAACAACAAGCAACTCAAACTCGCGTACGAGCCTGAGCGAGGTAATCGGGCTGTGATTGCTGCTCTTGGCTTTCAGTGCTGCAGTCTGTGACGAGCGCATGTCGATCAGATTCACTTTGCCGGATCGCAAACCGGCAAAGAGCAGCGAGCGATGTTGCTCGAGCGCAAAGACGGCAGATCCCGTAGCGATGCTGTCCATCTCGTTTGGTCCTCGCAAAGGATCCCGCGAAACGAGTACCTTGTCGTCGCAACCAAGCGCAATGATGTCAGGTGAGAGGCTGCCTGTCCAGAGCGAGGTCTTTGCTGGACTGAACGTGATGCTCGCCTCGCTCACGGGCGTCGTGGCATCCTCGGCCGGGTCGTGTGCGACGGCAAAGAGAGCCTTGGCGGGCGAGCCGAGCGAGGTTGCGAGGAAGCGATTGCCGTGGAGCTTCAGACTCGAGATGGTGGAACCGAGCAGCCATTCTGTCCGAAAGGGATCCACATTGCTCGGTAGGTTCTCACGAGCCCACTGGCTCGGCGGCTTGAGACTGGCAAAGCAGATTGATCCTGCCGTCCCACCCAGCCTGAGCTCTTTGCGGCCCGGGACGGCGGAAATCTGGGTGATGTTCTCGTCGACAAAGAGGCACTCGGGCTCTCGCGACTCGACCTGAACAGCACGAGCGGCAAAGGTGCCTAGGAGCAATTCGTGTCTTGCTCGCTCGAAGTCGCGCAGTGTGACTGGGCCGGCAGTTCTGTGATTGCGACTGGGAAGCCTTGAAGCCGGCGACTCAGCATGGCCATCCGGCTGGCTGAGCAAAGGTAGAAGAGATTGTACAGGCTTATGTCGATGAGAATCTGTCTTGAAGTATCGTTTCTTGCTGAAGGATCATGTGTGGTAGGATGAGCTCCTCGATGACGGGCATAGTCGGCATCGCACGAACCTCGCATCGTAGTAGTAGCCGGGCAAGTTCATACATCGATGCCCACCTGTCACGTGGATACACCGTGCACCATCCGCCGAATCGCTCACCGCGTCACGTGCGTCACCGGCAGCGATCGAAAGTACCAAGCTCTTGATAAAGCGAGATTTGCATGCTCGCACGATGCTGTCGCTCGACGCAGAGACGACAATGCGATGCTCTTCTATCACTCAGTCGGGCGGTTCAGGCAGAATGCGCTCGCAGACGTCCGGTACAGGCAGATCACAGATCGTTGCATTCAAGCGTCGGACGGAGCAGACAAGCGACGCCAGGCAGGAAAATCCGGCCAGGCAAAGATGGGCAAAGCAAACGACAGATGTACAAGCCCGTCTATCTCTCCAAGGACGACTTTCAGAACTCGTATCGCTACACGCTAGACAGAATCCACAAGCTACTCTGCGCTCGACTGCGAATTTTTGCCTCGACAGATTCTGGAGCTGTCATGTGTCGATCGTGGGCAAAGAGGCTCAAACTGGATCCCGTCATGCTTCATGACTACGCCCAGAGATGGGTCGCCCTCGTTCTGCCCGACATACGCCAAGCAGACTGTTCACCCTCGCCCCTCGATCCGAGCCAAATCTCGACGCGCGAGATCCTCGAAGGCCGACTGGGACACGGATTCGATCTGGAATGCCTCAGAGACTTGTTGGACAACAACACAACCGCCTCAGAGGACACAGAGACGCTGGACGTCATCATCTTTCGAACCTTTCTGCCCTGGGCAGCCGCGCAAGAGCCTGTCGTGCGCAAAGCAGATGCCTTCACGCCCGCCATGCAAGCCGCACGAGCACGCGGCGAAGACATCGCCATGCCTTCGCCGAGCGAGCTCATGCCGTCAAGATTGTCACAGCTCGCCAAGATCTTCGATCAGCGAGACGCCCTCTTGGACAGATCTGCCAGAGCGATCCCGCGCACGATCCATGTTCATGTTGGGCCGACAAACTCTGGCAAGACCCACAATGCCCTTAGGGCACTCGCCGACAGCGACAATGGCGCCTACGCTGGCCCACTCCGCATGCTCGCTCACGAAGTCTTTCATCGATTCAACTCGGGCGACATCAAGGGCAAGCGAGGTCAATCGCTGCAGTGTAATCTCATCACGGGCGAAGACATCCGCCAGGTCTCGCCCGAAGCCGGCCTCGTGAGCTGCACGATTGAGATGGTACCCATCAAGAAATTGATGGACGTTACCGTCATCGACGAAATCCAGCTGATGGCGTTGCACGATCGTGGGGCAGCCTGGACCGGGGCTCTTATCAACTTACAGGCACGCAACGTGCATGTCTGCGGCGAGCCTAGTGCGGTCGGCCTCATCTACAAGATTGCCCGCCAGTGTGGCGACAACGTCGTGCTGCACGAGTACGACCGACTGTCCCCACTGACACTCAGCAAAAAAGCGCTCGGTTCGCTCAAGCAGCTCGAGCGTGGTGACTGTCTCGTGGCCTTTTCGCGCAAGCGCATCTTCCAGCTCAAGCGAGATATTGAGCGCGACACAAATCTTCGAGTAGCTGTCGCTTACGGCGGCCTGCCCCCAGAAGTCAGAACGAGTCAGGCAAAGAGCTTCAACGACGGCGAAGTCGACATCATGATTGGAAGCGATGCGCTCGGCATGGGTCTCAATCTGTGCGTCTCATGATCCCCACTCGATGCTCATCAAGCTCACTTGCACACAGCCACGTTCGAAGGATGATCTTCTCTGCCATGGAAAAATGGGATGGTGAACGAGCGATACCGCTCAACGTGCCCTTGACGAAGCAGATCGCTGGCCGTGCCGGCAGATACGGAAAGCAGTTTTTGGTCGAAGGCCGTCCAGTCGATCCGCCTGAGAAGAGCCAAGGCTTCGTCACAACGCTTAGATCAGATGATCTGCCCTTTCTGGAGACTGCCATCAACGCGCCTGCTCGTCGACTTCATGTGGCCATCTGGGGCCCAGGCGGGAAACATGTAGATCGACTCAAGCTCCTCTTCCCCGAGGACCACGATACGGCCGAGCTCGAGCAACTCACACTGGACTTGACACTCTTCAGGCCGCATCTTTCGACGCCTCGCAAGGCCCCTGGAAATCTGAAAATGCTGGACAACGTCGACACAAGTCTCCTCACGCCTCGCGAAAGACGCGTCTGCCTGCTTGCGCCGGTACCGAAGCGACGAGCGGAAGATGCCTTTCGCATCTTTGTGACCTCCGTCGCCAATGTCCGGACGCTCTTGGTGCGCGACTATATCGCTCAAAGCGGGCTACAAGACGCGCTCGCCGAAATCTTCGAGCTGCTCTCCGTCGATTGCAGTGATAGCTCGCGGCCTGTCTTTGACGTTGCAAAGACGGTCGGTCTCACTGCTTCGGACATCCGGACAGTTATGAACAGTGACAATACTGTCATCATGGAAAATTTACATGCCTGCCTGACGCTCTATCTCTGGCTCAGCCTGCGGCTGCCTCTCGTCTTTGCCGACCGACTGACTGCTAATTCTTACCGGAACATGATCGAGCAGATCCTCCAATGGGGACTACTGGCATTACGTAAGAGCAACGTGACAGAGCTCGACCTGGCAGCGCTACCGCGACTCGAGAAGCGCTTCGCCAAGCGTTCCGAATTGATGAACACGCCCTCCATGGCTAGGTCAGGTGCAGTCACCGCCCAAGCGTAGCTCTGTCGACGGGCAGGACTTGCGCAGAGGGGCATCGATGTGGCTCATCCGGCGGCTAGCTCGCTGCGTTGCAGCTCTAGCTGCATAGTCATCACCCCTTATACCTGCTGCCACACTCTTCGTCAGGTGTGGAGCGCGCGCAGAATGCAATCTGACTACACATGATGCGTGGCGGTCGGCGAGGAGCTGAGCTAGCTGAGTCGCCGCACTTCTTTGCGTTCTCTGCGCGCGCTCGGTGTTGAAAGGTTGCCGCTTGCCGTAGCTGGCGCAAATTCCAGGTGAGACAGCATGTTCCCCGACTGGTTGTCGATCCGTATAGCGCTCAGGATAGCGATTGGCTTCCTAACTCTCATCGCACCGCTCGCTTTCCTCGTCGTCGGCTTCACGCTCAAGTATACCTGGCCAGCGCCGTTCCTGGCCCTTGTCGCTCCTCACTGGACGATTGCACATCCTCGCTTGGCCTGGACATTCAATGTCTATGCTGCATCGGAGGTCGGCTTCTGGTTCACAGACCGGGCAGTGCGCTACTGGGTCGAGCACAGCGGCAGAGGCGCTCCAGCTCTATCACAAGAGGAGCGATGGGAGCTTGTCAGAAAGGTGGCGGGAGCGGAGGAAGATACTTGGAACGGCTTCCTCGCAAGCTGGTTCACCTACAAGCATAACGTCCTACCGTCCAGCGAGTCCAAGCCGAGCGAACACTCTGACGAAGGCGCGTCAGGCTCCAACGAGGAGGCCGGTCGAGCGACAAAGGACGATGCGAGCACGCAAGGCAACGGCCGCTTCAGAGCTCGTGACTGGCGCAACGAGGACCATCACGCGTACGTTCGTGAGATCGAACACCCCCGCGTAGGAGCCGAGAAGGAGGACGTGGGCCATGACGATGTCGCAGAATGGCTCAGCGCGATGTTCTTCAATCGCACCCTGACAGAGCTGCGCAAAGACGACCAGCTTTCCGAGGAGCTCGACAGCATGGTGATCTACCTCGCCTCGGGCATGCAGCCGCCCAACTATACCTTTCAGACAGGCCGCTCGGGCAAAGTCACCTCGTTCAAGCCTTACTTTGATCGCTTCCGTACGCGACATTGTCCTCTCCTGTTCTATGCATGTACTTCACTACTCGCTCAAGGCGGTGATCTCATCATGTGGCTCTGCGGCTTTCGTCACTACGGTCAAGCATCTGGCCTGATGCTGCCGCCTGTCTTCATGAGAAGATCGCTGTCGGCCGATGCGAGAGCACGTCTGCCGGAGCCCAGGACTGAGCAAGAGATCTCCGACAAGAATCTGGCCAAGCGGGTTGGCTATTGGTATTATCCAGGTGCAAAGGGAAAGGAGAATGCTTTGCCAATCGTGTACATGCACGGTGCGCTCTTGTCCGCATCAGATTGGCCAGTGCTGATCGCCAGCGAGCTCCTGCAGGCATGAGTGGAACGTATGGTCCACTTGCATTCATCATCATGCTCGCGAGGATCACCGGCAGACCGGTCTTCATTCCCGAATTCCCATACGTCATGATGAGACTGCATTGGCCCGGCTTGATCATCGTGAGGCGGCAGACCGCGCTCGCCGTCAAAGCAATGCTTGCTGCTCGCGGCTTCAAGCAGAGCATCATGGTGGGCCATTCGCTCGGTCAGTTCTCCGCATGCTCTCTCCATCTGAGCTCATCCTCCGATCGTCAGGCTCCGTGCCGCTTGCCTGGCTCAGACACGACGCGCCTGAGCTGTGTGCAGGCGCTGTGCTGGTCGATCCTTCCAGCATCGTGCTCCACAGAGCCCATTGCTGTCGCAACTTCTTCCGTCAGAACCCACGCACGGCGGCCTCGATCTTCTTTGAATATTTCGCCAAAGAGCGCGCCATGGGTCACTTCATGGGCAGGCATCTCGAATTTTCCGATTCGATGCTGTTCGCTCCCACTCACGTCAGACCACCTCCACCTATACCCCCACAATATATCACCCACGAACGCACAGAGGCCAACAAGAATCACGTCTACGGACCGACACTGCCCGACAAGCAATATGTGACCGTCTATGTCTCCTGCAACGATTGTATCGTGCCAGCTGATCTCGTCAAACAATACTGCGACAAGACAGGCATCGACTGTGTCGAGATGGAACATCTCGATCACGCCACTGTCCTCTTTTCACCCTACTGGCTGAAGACCATCTGTCATCGGACTGAGGAGATCAGTGCGGATCTAGAAAGCGCGCTACGAGAGACTAAGGCTCGCTGATTGTCGTCCTGCTGTTGTATAGTCACAGTGGTGCTCTGTCGAGTCAGACTGCCCTCGAAACGCGCCCACGCCAGATCGCGCAGGTGCGCAGAGAGGCGCGTCGTCGTCGGGCGCGGGCGCTTCCTCACGGGCGCACAGAATCGAACGAAGCCCTTGTGGCCATAGGAACCAGCGTCAGCTCAGCAGTGACTCGCGCGTGAGCTAGATCGCGCTCACTGGCAGTGCGATGAATGCCGCGCCCCTGGTAGAAGCGGCAAGCGCGACCATGGCCAGCGTCACCCAGCCTGCCGCTAGTCAGCTGCCTTACCCAGCTTCGCTCGAACCGCTCCTCCACTGGCTCAACACGACTCTTACACGAGCAGAGGGCATCTACGACAGCATACCCGGCAGTGCCATCGTCTGGCGCTACGTCAAAGTCTCGCATCAAAAGTGAGTTGCCCCGTCGATCGCTCCGTCCTCACTGCTGCATTCACTGGGGCCAGGTGGTGGCAGAAGCCGGGTCCAGACACTGATGCGGCCGAGCAGTGATCCATTCAGGACAGTGCTCGAGATTCTCCTGTTTTTCTTCGTCATCCGTACCGTGCTCCAATCGAGGACGAGGGGAGATCGGTCAGGCAAGCACTTTATCAAGTTTTCTCAGCGAGAGATCGACGAACTCGTCAACGAGTGGACGCCGGAGCCTCTCATGCCTGCCCCCCCGCGCGCTGCAAACGGCGCTGTACAGTCTGCAGAACAAGCCTATCACAAACCGCCCGTCATCATTGGGCCGGCAATACTCCGTCCACAAGTCGCCGTCTCGTCCGAGGGTGGTCAACGTCAAGTGCTTTGCCAGCTCTCTGCGCTCGGCTGGCACTTACTTTGACTTTGCGCTAGGTTCTGAACGTCACCACGCCCAACTTTGCAGGCTTGTTCGCAGACGAACACGTCAAAGGCAAAGCTATCGAGTGTCTGCGTTCTTACGGCGTCGGCAGTTGCGGTCCTCCCGGCTTCTATGGCACTTTTGGTAGGATCCCACGAGTCACTGCTTCCAATCCTGATTGCCGTCACAGATGTGCACATGCAGCTCGAACGCGCTATTGCGCTGTTCCTGGGCGTCCAATCGTCGATCATCTACTCTCAATGGTTCTCCACTGCCTCGTCTGTCATTCCGTCCTTCTCAAAGCGTGGCGACATCATTGTTGCCGATCGAGCCGTCAATTTCGCTATCCAGAAAGGCATCCAGATCTCTCGTTCGACGGTGCGCTATTACGACCATAACAATCTCGACAGCCTCGAAAAGGTTCTCGAAGGCATTCGCAAGGATGACAAGAAATACAATCGTGATCCTACCAAGAGCAGGCGGTTCATCGTCACTGAAGGCATATTTGAGAACGATGGCGCACTGCTCGATCTGCCACGCGTGGTGAGTTCCTACACACACTCTCTTTGGTCCTTGCTCATAAAGATGCACAGATCGAGCTGAAGCTGAAGTACAAGTACAGACTCATACTCGACGAATCCTGGTCATTTGGCGTGCTGGGCAAGACCGGACGTGGACTGTCGGAATACTATGGATTGCCGGTCAGTACGCTCACCTATTGCCGCGATGTCGTCTGATACCAGTCAGGATAGGCGGGCGATATCGACATTCTATTAGGCTCCATGTCAGTTGGATTGAGTGCAGCCGGTGGCTTCTGCGCAGGCACGATCGATGTAGTCAACCACCAGGTGCGTCTTTGCCAAGATAGATCGAGTCGGTGTTGATGCGTAGAGCAGCGCATCAATTCAGCCGCATTTGTGTATTCGGCCGCTATGCCGCCTTTGCTAGCTGTAGCAGCCACGGCAACGATCGATATACTGTCAAACGCCAGCAGGCCGCATCCTCTCACAGGCCTGTCAGACAATGTCAAGGCGCTAAGGACGGCGCTAGACAAGCTTTCGGACATTGTCGATGTTCCCTCGCACCGGGAATCTCCAACAATTCACATCTTTTTGAGAGATCCTCCCACTGCAGACATCGGACAGCAAGAAGCGATACTGCAACAAATCGCAGACGACTGCCTGGCGCAGGGCGTGCTCATCGCACGAAATCAGCGCCTGTGGTTGCAAGAACTGCCGAGCGAGATCGACAGACCTAGTCTGCGATTATGTCTCAGCGCAGCTTTCAACAAGCAAGAGACGCAAAGAATCGCAAGCGTTCTCTCTCAGTGTATAAAGGCGAACCTAAGCTGAAACGGTAACATGGTAACATTGCATTATGTCGAAATGTGCCTCATCACCTCTGCTGCGTGATGTCGTTGCAGACTGTCAATGCATGAGTTAGAAAGGGGGGCAAAGACGTCAAGCGACTGACTAGTAAAGCATCACATCGGCCTGCATGACGCCTTCGATTGAGATCTTCGCTGAGGGCGACAAGTCGATTTGCTGGGCTTCATTGCCGAGTAGAAGTCTTCCCGTCTCGTCGACATGAAGCCGATTGACAGATCCGACTGCATCTCCTGCGTGTGCTGCTGCTGCTGCTGCTGCTGCTGATGATGTATGGGAGGCGGAGTCAACTTGTGGCTGCTTTATGTCCAGCAGGATCTGTTGCTGTGGCCTGCCGGCTACTTTGAGAGCGTTGAGCTCTTGGCGCACCTCTTCTTGGCTTTCTTCAATGACATGACGGGCGAGACCGTCGAGCGCCACCATCGAGCTGCGCGCAACGTGATCTGTCAGAACAGGACTCTGCCAGAGGACCGTCGCGTCGGGATAACGCCTGGTGATGTTGTTCAAGCCGGACTTGAATTGTGTCTCATACCAGGTGATACGCTCATCAGACACCGAGCCAGGTGCCACGGGAGCTTTTGGATCCAGGTGGTCCTCTGTCGCCCAGCGGTACGCATTACTGTGAGTAGTTGAGAGATGTATGAGGTCCGGTTGACGGTTGCGTCCCACGAGTGGCAACACAGTGTCTGCCACGAGAATCATGATATTGGCCCATTGATAGAGCGTCTTCTTTGGATTCGCATCATAAAAGGTGTCGCCCTTGTGCGCCTTGACGCCAATCTCTGCGCGCGTGTGCATACCGTGATGGAAGACCTGGACCTGCGCGTTCGCATGAGTCCGAATGTTCGTGTAGTACGCATGCATGACGTACTATGATGAGATCAAAGCGGCTGACTTCACATTTGAGGGGCGTGAATGACTCATTGATGGGAGAATCATCCAGGTACCGTTGATTGAGCTCGGCCAATCGCTGCTGCAAGGAGTCAAAGAGCCCCTTAATGGTCTCATTGCGCGCATCTAGTGAGCTAGCATGACCGCCCATGAGCTCACACCATTCAAAGAGATCCTGGGCGTGTGTCAGTTAAACGTTGTTAAAGCGAGATGAGCTGACATTATGGGCAGCAACATCGCGCATCATTAGGATGGTCTTGTTGTGAAGCCAAGGCATTTTGAGGTTGTCTCGCATCGGATAGGTGGCGAGGGTTCCGCCGGGCTCGTGCCGATTTGACTTGCTGATGGCGCGCAGCAATGTTGACGGCAAGCATGCCTCGTCAAACGGCTTCCAATAGTTGTTGACAGCGCGGCGTGCAGATAGCTGTAGCTGACCGTGCCGGTGGAATGGATTGCAAGCTCCGAGGATCTTGCTGGCTTGGGCAGCATCTTGCCGCGTGAAGCCAAGGGGCTGGTGGTGTCTGCCATGCGTCGTGCTGGGTGCAAGCAGCCATGTGCCAAAGAAGAGCACCATGACGAGCATTGTTAATCGAAGGGGCGAGACGTAGTTGTACCAGACATGCTGATATTTTGCTTTGATTTGACTGACGGCAGATGGCAAGGTGAGCGACTCCAGGCTGCTCGTTTTGCGCTTGTGCTGCTGTCCGGGCAACATGATCTTGATCTCGCTCGTGTCAGACTCGACCATCGCAGGCATGAGGCGGTCGCAAAGTTTGGCGAGATCGCAAAGGCGACCACGCAACGCCGTCGCAAGGTCTGACACTTGCGACATATCGGCAAGCACAGAGGCAGTGCTTGCAGAAGGGCAGGTTGCCATGACGGGAGCGATCGTGTGTCCGGACGGCGGAGGTGGAGGTCTAGCGAGAGCTTGATACGATATGGCTGCTTCAATGTCGAGCGTCAAGACAGGTTTGCTTGCACGCGTCGCCATGGGGCCAGGGACGAGTTGTGCAGCACAGCGTGGCCGATGACTGACAATTTAGAGGCTATGCGGGCTACCAAATCGAGCTAGAAGTCATTCTCTGAGGTGATGCGGTGACTGCTGCGTGCGCTTGTTGTCAAGTCAGTTATCGTCGGAGAGATGCGTCGTCCAGGGGAGTCGGTAGAAAGCGACAGCAAGGCAGAGGAGGATAAGTAGAAGCGTGCCAAACCAGCGGATCTGGTCTCGCTCGAGACGGCTCAGGACGAATTCGTTGAGGACTTCTCGTGCCGTGCGCGGCGAGCGTGCAAGACTGCCGTACTCTTGCAACTGCTCCTCCGCTTCGTAGATTGGGTCTTCCACTTCGAAGCCAAGATACTCGGGCACGGTGGACATGGCAGTCGGCACGTCTGTCCAATAGTCTGACATGTCACGAGGGAAAAAGGCTCGATCGAGAGGTCTGTCACTTCATGATTGGTCAAGAGCTGCTCGTGGAGACCGACGAAAAAGCGCGACGTGGGTCCGAGCGCGCACGCCGCCATGGCGAGTTGTGAGCCTTGCAAAAAGCGTTTGCAATGTCATGCCCGTGCGGCGAGACTACAGGCATCTGTCTCGTCAAAGAGGCGCATTCGTAGCCAAACTTCTTCCCGAGATCGCACCTCTGGCGATACTCAGCCGACTTGTATCAGGGGCGTTGCCTGGGAGGGCCCGTAAAGCGGGTCGAGGTTTTCACAGGACAAGCTTTTTCCCGTCGAGATGGGCGGAGCTGTACAAGTTGGCGTGCGCTTACAATGAGCATAGACGTGTATGACCGGATCGGGGACCCAGGTAGCTATGTGAGACACATTCAGCCTGGTCGTAAAGTCGGGAAAGGCAGATGGACTGACGCTTGACATAATCTAGGCCAAAAAACGCTTCGACGTGTACCTCGCACGCCTCTCTGCCTGTTGGTGGCCAGCGAAGAATGAGCGAACGTTCAGATCCGGAAGACATAGGCTTGCGTACATGCCTTATCGGTGAAGCCAGTCTCGTCTGTCCAGGCATCGTTCGTCTGAGACGTGACCGCTTTGATGAAAGCGGTCTTGGAGCTCTGGTGAACAAGCTCTGCGCTTTCGAGCATGTCTGCGTCTTCCTGTTCGGTGACGAGCCTGCCTGGTGAGTCTCAATTGATCGCGATGACATGTCCAGCATCACCGACAAATTTGACAGAGACGCCGAGCGGCGTTCGGAAGGTGGTGGCAAGGAACTCGTCTGCGATGTGCACCTTGCCAAGCTGAGTGCCGCAGTCGGCGTGCACCGAGAGAAACACCTCGTAGGGGACAATGCGGAGGCCCAGCGCAGGCGCCTCGAAGCTCAGCCCGGCTAGACAAAGCGTGACGATGAGAACGAGCAGTGTCTGAGAGGGCATCGCTGTGTCGTCTGAGATCAGGATGTACTGAGCCTCTGAGGAGTAAGCTGACGTTGCTCGCGGGTCCTTCGTAGCTAGCGCTCCTCGTCGCGTGCGTGTGTAGGCGTGTAGGCGCAGGCCTGCAAGGCCATCTAGGACTGATTCGAGCTTGACGGCATGGCATCTCAAGCTGTACAAGAGCCCAGGATGAGCTATGGCACGACCGAGGGCCAAAGTGCCTTCCTGGCCAAAGACTTTGACAAGCTGGTCGAAGAAGTTGAGGAGGATCCGATGTCAGCAGACAGAGCAGATCTGCCAGCACTCGTAGAGCTCCGACCGCTCTCCCATGAGATGTTCCTGCTTCCTCACGAACTCGCAAACACATCACAGACAATAGAGGACAGTGTCCTTCCCGAAATATCAAGCCTACACTTTGCCGACGTGGACAGCGATGATGAGGACCAGAGGACGCTTCGATCCTTCTCAGCGTCCGACTTCTTGATGACCCGCCACCGTTCGACGCTGCCCGGTCTTCTGTCCGAGCTGCGAGCGTACCTCGCCATTCTGCGCAGAGAGCTCACCGCCCTCATCAACGAAAACTATGAGGACTTTCTCAACCTCGGCAGCGGTCACGGCGGCCTGCGTGACTCTGATGCCCTCCTCGAAGGCCTGAAAGAGCCCGTCGTCGATATCGAGAGCAAAGTGACGGCAGTGCACAGCAGTCTGAAGGACGTACAGCGTGATCTCAATACTAGCTTACAGACGCGTCGCCAGCTTCGTGATCGCAAGGCATGTCCTCATTGTCTAATGCTCAATAAGCTCTCACACATGCCATGCGATCAGGCCACGAGCAGGATCCTGTTATCGACACATGCTGCCTTGCAGAAGCTAGAAGCTCTCCTCGGCATTCCCTCACCAGCGAGTGAAGCAGCCAGCCGTGCACCAGATGCACATTCAGCAGGCACGCTCCATTCCGGCGAAACATCTGCCAAGCGGCTTGCACGTATAGCAAGAGAATACAACCAGATGGTGTACCTCGTGCAGAAGAGCCAAGCGCTAAATAGTAGATTTGCCCATTCGCTCCAGCCGGTAAGTCATGGGTGTCCATGTCCGCAACTCCCTAAAACTGCATAATCCGCAGAGAGCGATGGTAGTCTCGAAAACCCTGCTGCAACAGCTTGACAGCCTTTGCACGCAAGAGCTGCGCAAGCAGCACGACCTGCAACGCTACCAGGCCTTGTCAGATTTGCTCGCGGCCTATGTCAGCATCGATCAGGCCAGAGCAGTCGAGGACGTCATCAGGACATCGTTTGCGAGACCTTGGGCGACGCGCTACATCTATCGTGACGCTGTGCAGGAAGCCAAACCAATTGGGGCGCCACCGAGCCCACCTGCCGGCGTCGACTCTGCGTATCTGCTTGATGATCTCTTGCCCGGCGATTCTCAGCTGGAGCACTTCTACAACCACATTTTACTTTTTCTTTCGCATGATGCAAGTGTATTGCTCGACCTTGCTGAGAACCAGCCGCAACGCACGCAAAACGAACGGCATCAATTTGACTTACTAGCCAGCGTATTCTGGGACGAGATCTCCCGTCGATTGGTCAGCGAGACTAGTCAGGCTATCTTTGCTGCCGGTCAGCCGGAGGTCTTCATTAGAGTGCGTCGACATCAGAATGTCTGCGCAAAGCTGATCAGCTTTGCAGAATTACAATATTACGACTGCATTCATCGACCGCATCGAGAACTTGTGTCCCTCGTCCACCTATTTAGACCGATTGCGAAATCACCCATCGATGCTGAGGTTCTCAAAACGATGGCAGCTACCGGTCTACTTTCAATTGCGCTTCAGAGAAGTAGTGGGCCGAGCAGAAGAGGTGCTCGAGAGCAAGGATCATACTCGTGCGCATTGCTGCCTTCTCCTGAGTGTAAGCTGATGCACTTGACAAAACAGCCTTCAAAACCTCTGCCAACCGAAACTTCATGCTGCCCGCAACAGAGGCAATTCATCGCGCAATCTGGACGCTTTGGCAGCCCGAGATCTACCTCGCCGAGCTGGGCCATAGATTCTGGTCCGTAACGTTGCAGCTCCTGGCACGGTATCGTAGTTGGATCGATGCGATTTTGCCGCGATACAATCCTGCGCGGCCCTCTGAAAGGGAGAAGGTAAGTGCAACCAGCAATCGATTCTGGTAGGCTGACCTCTGAGCAGAGTACCACCACATCAGCGCTGTCCAGTAGGGCCAATACTCCACAGCCCTTGGCGAGCAATGCAGCCGAAGACGCTCAGGATGACGCTACTCTGCGCCAGCTGGTCATCATCATCACAGATCTGCAGAGACTGACGACGCGGCTGCGAGACTTCTTTGGCGCCTCGATCTTGCCAGTCTTGCCTGCTGTCGAAGGTAGTGCTATCTCGGACACGCTGGAAGCAAGCCTCAGTGATCTCACGGCGATCGCGCCACCGCTGATGCTTCAAGTCGTGTCGATCCTTGCAAAGCGCACCTCTGAGCCGCTTAGATTGGTACGATCGGTCGCTTCACAAGTCAGAGCGTCAAGCAAGCTCTCGACGGAAGCGAGCTATTTTGTCGCCAATATCCTGCAGCCTCTCCGCGACTTTTTGCGTGGTCCAGGGAGAACACTCGACGCTGTATCTCAGCAGCAGGTCGCCCAGGACGTGGTTGACGATGTCGCAGCAAAGTATGCAGGTGTGCTGGAAACAATGAAGAAAACGGAAGATTCGCTCAAACGACTCAAGAAGGGCAGACAAGGTTTCTCACTGTTCAGCGGCGGCGGCAAAGCGAGCGATGGTATGGACGAAGAAGAGCGCGTGCGAGCTCAGATGCAGACTGATATCGGCGCACTGGCGAGCGATGCAGCTACTCTCGGTGTAGATACCTCAAGCTCATCCGCATTCAAAGCGCTCGTTGTAGCATCTCAAGAGAGCGCCACAGTCGCTGCGTGAGCAGACTGGGCCAGCGCGACTGATGAGCAGGTATTGTTGTAGATGCAGATACAGACCGAAGATGTAGCGTAACGTTGAGATTTGACGTGGAGCAGCGCAAATCTGGCTGGCCTTTACAGCGATTCCATCTGGGAGACGACCTCTTCGAGCTCCTTCTTGGAAGCCAGGTACTTTGTCTGTTGGGCGTCGTTGAGGCAATCAGAGCAGGTAAGCTGAGGCAAGAAAAGCACTGACCTGTGACTCCTCGTACTTTTGCTCCCAAGAGTCGCGCTCCTGCTCTGCACGCAAGACTTGGCGCTCAAAGTGCTCGGCCTTGACGTCGATCTGTCGCAGTCTGAAGACAACTGTCTGGCTTAGCGCATGAGACGGGACAGAACAAGATGCGACTCGCTTCTCGGTGGTCTCCTTGAGATTCTTCTCGCTATGATCAAGCTCTTCTTCGAGCAGCTGTATCTTTCGTTGCAGGTTCTCTGAAGCGGATTTGTGTGTCTCAGACTCTGCGCGCAGGCAAGTCGTGAGCAGGGACGACGCGGTGATTGTGGTTTGGCGCACCTTCGACAGCTTTCTTGTGATCGCCGACTTTGGCTTCGATCTTGTCGAGGTCGGCCTCGAGCGTCTGCGTTGCGTCGAGCATGTGAGCGTGGATCTGCGTAGGTCAGACAAGCAGGTTGGCGCACCTGAACCTTGTGATTGAGGCTGGCAATCTGCTGATCCTTTTGCAGCGCTTCCTGCTCGAGCTGTGCCAACAGGTCACTCAGGCGGATCTTCAATGCGCAAAGCTACATACAGTCTTGTTCTTGGCCTCTGCTGCCTCGGCTCGCTCTGCGTTGGCGTCCGCTTCCGCTCTGAGCGAGGCAAGCTTCTGCTCGGGCACCCTGCACAGTCAGCAGCTGCCATTCTCGCGTGAGCCCTGCCTACCTCTTTGATCTTGTCCTGCATATACTCCATTTGTCAGCCCATTCGCTTACTTGCCACTGCGGCCTCACCATGGCAGATGACCGTCAGGAACAATGCTGGGTTTGACGTGCGTCGCGCGCGCCTCTACGCGATCCGAGAATGCGCCACGTCAGCGAGTCGACATCAGTCCGCGTACACGTAGGCAGGCCGCTGAAGCGCTGACGCTTGAGCCATGTCGATGACGAAGACGCAGACGAGGAGACCGTCAGCCAAGGCCAAAGGCAAGCAGCGACAGAACAACGACCCACGTCAAGCCCGACGACAGCGAGATGAGGAAGAGCTGCAGCGGACTGCTACAGAAATCGCAAATCTCGTCAGCTGCTGCCTGCTTGGAGAGTGCAGACGTATGCTCATTGGCAGAGTCAGGATCTGACCGCTAGTTACAGCACATTCGCCGATCTGCCCCTCTGCACGCCGACTGCTGCAGGCCTAAAGGCAGCTTATTTCACCAACTTGACGCCCATCCAATCTCGAGCGCTACCACTCGCTTTGCAGGGTGCTGCAGCTCGCCCCTGACTCGTTGTAGCGCTGATACATTGATGTCACAGGGAAAGACGTTCTGGGGGCAGCCCCGACAGGCTCGGGCAAGACTCTGGCGTTCTTGGTGCCTTTGCTCGATTTGCTCTACCGCAAAAAATGGGGACCCATGGATGGTCTCGGTGCACTCGTCATCAGTCCTACGAGAGAGCTAGTGCGTCCTCCAGCTCTTCGTTTGATTTGACACCACTCATGTCAGCTCAGGCCGTACAAATCTTCGAGGTCCTGCGCAAGATCGGCACGCAACATTCCTTCAGCGCAGGCCTGGTCATCGGAGGCAAATCCTTGCACGAGGAAAAGGCAAGTCCTCGGTGCAAGTGTGTCGTTGTACGGCGCTCATGCTTTCTTTTGATCACTTCAAGGAACGGCTAGCACGCATGAACATCCTTGTCGCTACGCCAGGACGGCTCTTGCAACATATGGATCAGACGATTGGCTTTGACGCTGATAATCTCCAGCTACTCGTCCTCGACGAAGCCGATCGTATACTCGACATGGGCTTCTCAAAGTCACTCAATGCCATCGTTGCCAACCTCCCTCCCACACGCCAGACACTGCTCTTTTCCGCGACACAGACCAAAAATGTCAAAGACCTCGCGCGTCTCTCGCTCAAAGATCCCGAATATGTCTATGCACGCACGCTCACGGCCGATCCCGCTGTCGGCGCGCAGCCCGTCGCCGAGGCCAGTCGAGACGAGGCGACCTTGCAAGTACCAGTAGGCCTCGAGCAGCACTATATGGTTGTCCCGCTCGACAAGAAACTCGACTTGCTCTGGAGCTTCATCAAAACCCATCTCTACACCAAGACGATTGTGTTCCTGTCGAGCTGCAAGCAAGTCAGATTCGTCCACGAGACATTTCGACACATGCGGCCCGGCGTACCTTTACTCCATCTGCATGGCAGACAGAAGCAAGCGAAGCGATTAGAGATTTACGATCGCTTCACTTCGTCAAAGCATACCGTCATGTTTGCGACCGATGTCGCTGCTCGCGGTCTCGATTTTCCGGCCGTCGATTGGGTCATCCAATTTGACTGTCCGGAAGATGCCGATACTTATGTACATCGTGTGGGTCGTACTGCCAGGTATCAAAGCACCGGCAAAGCTCTCCTCTTCCTTTGCCCTAGCGAAGAGGAAGGCATGACCAAACGACTGGCCGATAAAGGACTAGAAGTCAATCGCATCGTCGCTCGCGAAGCCAAACAACAGTCTACTCATCATCAGGTGCAATCGATCGCTTTCCAGTTTCCAGAGATCAAGTTCATCGCTCAACGCGCGTTCATCTCCTACGTCAAATCGATTCATCTGCAAAAGGACAAGTCTGTCTTTATGCTTGACGAGTATCCCCTGGAGAAGTATGCTACGTCTCTCGGCTTGGCGGGTGCACCTCAGATCAGATTCGTCTCAAAGGCAGAAGCATCATCAAGGAAGAATGCAGACTGGTCGCTCGAGAACGTCAAGACCCAGCCGATTGTTGGCGATGCATCTAGCGATGAGGAGCCGACCCATCTTTCTGATGTGGCAGAGGATAGTGCAAGCGAGTCCGCTGAAGCGGAAGTGGCGACGTTTGCTCCCCTGTCGCAGCGCAAGAGTAGCAAGACCAAAGTCGATCGCATGTTTGGCCGTCAGAATAATAACATCCTCTCTGATCACTACAGCAAGGTGGTCAACCACGGCTCGGATGCTGTGGATGAGAGCGAAGACGAGTTCATCACCATGAAGCGCACTGATCATGGCCTCGATGAAGACAATCTACCAGAGTCCGCTTACCTGTCGAAACGCAAGATCAAGGCGGGTCAGTCCAAGAAAGCAATGTTATCGAAACGCGGCGTACCGACCAAGACGACCTTTGACGACGAGGGCCATGCTAGAGCGGACAATGCGGTTCAGCGAGAAGAAGACTTTATCGCGCAAGGCGATGTTCAGGAGCTTGGCCGACAATTTGTTGCTGCCGAGCGAGCTGCTCTACAGACCATTGATGTGGACGACAAGGCTCTTGCGAAGGCCAAGAGACGTGAGAAGAAGCGGAAGCGAAAGCTGGCTAATGCGGGTGGGGCTGAAGAGACTCGCGCCGAGCTCGCGGTGAGCAGCGATGATGATGGCTACGTCTCGCCTGACTTTGATGATATCGATCTTCAACCTACGCCCAAACATGGTAGACTCGATGCCACGAGCGCAGCTGACGAAGAGCGGCCAAATCTTGAAGCGCAAGCCCTGCTCGCATTATCGAACCGAAGATAGTGCCGCTATGCATCTGTCTCGCGCTTCTCGAGATATCTCGTCATTTGCTGGTGATCTCGATTGAGCTTGTCTTTCTCCGACAATATCTTCTCAGGCTTCTCGTCCCCTTTGGCATACTTGAGCTTTTTCGCCTTGCGCTTCTCTTTCCGAGCCTCTTCTTGATCGAGAGCCAGGAGCTCTTTGATGTTGTAGCTGGTTGACGAAAGCGGCTGAAGACGCAGAGGCTCATGTCTTTGCTCTTCTCGCTCGTCATCGCTGAGCACGTTGTCTGGCTCAATCTGTGGCATTGCAGTAGCTTCTTTCGGCTCGTCTGCGACTGTTTTGCGTCTTTGCTCGGCCTCGAACCAGTCTTTGCGCCGTTGCTGCTCTGTCGGTGCTCCGACTGTCCGTTCTGTCGTCGTCTTTGGCATATCGTCCTCGGCAGAGAGATAGCCAGTGTAATCACCTGCGCCGGCGAAAATGTCATCGTCATCACTGAGAGCAGCAACAAGCTCAGGCTTCCGAGCTGAGGCTTCTCCTTCCAAAGATGCGACTCGGGCAGATGACGCTTCGCGAGAGGGCCCGTCGTGAGCTGTATGGCTAGCGTTCTTATCGGCCTTGGCCAGGACATCTGGCGCTATTGGCTGCAGCGCGACGGCAGGTTTGACCGCTTTTTGCTTCTTGCGCTTGGGCCTCTCTTGAGGCGTTACGCTAGAAGAGACAGCACTGAGCTTTTTGAACTTGCTTGGTGCAGCTCCCTGCTGCCGATCCTCAGATGGGCCGACCTGGCTTGCCCGTTTCGCTTTGAGGTCCGCAATGATCTCGTCCCGCGACCGCTTGCGAGTGGCTGGCTCCAGTACGTGGCTAGCTACCGGTCCTTTGTCGTTGACGAGGAGGTTATCCAGCTCGTCGTCTGCTTGCTCGCTGTCTTGCTGTGCTAGTCGAGCTTGTTCTTTTGCAAGCAAATCTAAGTCTAGCCCCCTTTTGGCTCCCGTTTCGCCTTGACCATCGAGCACAAAGAGGTCGTCGGCGTGCTCACTGCTCGTCATACCAGCTTGTGGCTCAAGATCGAGGTCACTGAAACCCATCCGGCGTGCAGCTGCTCTGTCGACATATTTGCCTCTGATCATAGGCAAAGAAGGACCACTTGCAGTCTCAACGGAGGCCTTCGTTGTAGATACTGTCGACTTGCCTCTGGCAGCTGATCGAGGGAGCAGTGAAGTGCTTGGCAAGGATGTTAGGTAGGGATTATCTGTCGTCGATTCTTGCTGCTTGCGATATTTCAGTCCGTGCAGATTGTCGAAGCGACTCGATTTGGTCGTCGGCCGAGGCTGATACTCCCGGCCTGGCAGCGTTGCAGAGCTCGGGGCCGACTGCAACAGCGCTCTGAAGGCATCCTGGTCCATGGCCGGGGGTCAGTGTCGACGCGACAATTGCGCGCGACAATGTCAACGGCCAGGCAAAGGGCATCCTATTTGGACTGAATTTGATCATGAATGCTACAACAGAGCGTGTACTGAACGATCAGATATCTCTAGAGCTCGGGATGGACGAGTGCTGGCTGGTGACCATTGGAGAACAGCTCGATAAGAGCCGCGATTGGATCAGTACCGCCTGATCTGACCCAGAGTACGTAAAGGACTGCTAGGATGAGGAGAGCGAATGTATATTTGAGCTGATGGACTACCTCCATAAAGACGGCGTCGTTCGTTTCGCCTGAGAGCCAACGGTTGACCGTCTGCTCGACGCGATCCTTGTCAATCTGGCGAGGTCTGACGTGACGAGAGAGAATCTTGCGAGAAGGGATGTGATAGACGACCAGCTGAGGTATGCCGAGCACCATCCACTTTGCCGCCAGATGTACCCGAGCGTACGGGCGCGTGTAGAGCTCCTCGTTCTGATCGTCGTCATCACCAAGATGATCCTCTGTATCAACCTCGCCTGCGAGCAGGAAGTCTTCGCCCCTGCTGAGATTGATGGGATCGACAGCATCTTCGTGCTGGCCAACTGCCAGATTGGAGCCGTCATTCCATTCCATACTGAGCCAGCCTCGGGCGAGCGAATTTGACTCGTATGATTCTTCTGTGGTGTCTATGGACACGTAGACAACCTTGAGCCGATGTGGTGATACTCTTGTTAGTCTGATGACATCCTATCGAGCCAACTGAGCCCGGCCTTGAGCTGACCAAGCAGGCTTACAGAGGCAAACGTCGACATGGCGCCGCGGCGTCCCCATGAAGCATCAAAGTAGAATGCAACGGCGATGCAGTCTCTGAAGGCGCTCTTCAGATTGACTTCTTTGCCGTAGCCATCTCTCAAGCGTAAGCGTCTCAATAGTGGGTCAGGATGGGAGTAAAGCTCCTTCGGTGGCAGCTCGCGAGATGCCTGGCTTGACCGCTTGAGCGCACTGGCTGGTGCCTTGTCGCTCTTGACCGTTGCCGAAGCTGCTGTCGCCATGTCTGCTGCTTGTCGTAGAAGCGAGACAGAGGAGTCAAGTGCGACCCGAGCTGCCTCCCTTTCGTCCAGCGTACCCTTGGGTAAGCTTGATTTGCGCGCACCGGCGGCCGGAGAGGCCGATCGAGGAGGCGACGCTGTATGATCCGGCTCTGAAGAGAAGCTGACGACTCGCTTCGGCTTTAGCGCTAGGGCCGGTGATGACGTTGGCGCGAGTGACGCTTGCGATGGCCCTGTCTCGACAAGTTTATCGTGACTTTCCCCGACTGCTGGCGGGAGCTGCTCCTGCCTGACCTGCGCCGCTCTATGTGATACCGACGAATGTCTCACAGGCAGGACAGGCTGCTCGCGAGTTGGCATAGCATTGCTCGCCCGCCAGTCAGTTATTGAGCCGGCGCGCCTCACGCTCAAGCAATCAAGCGCTCTCTAGCGCGAGCCTCGACACCGGTAAACTCCACAAAGTCTCCTCATTCCTGTCTGCTTCAGCAAATGATGGTCTGCAAATGCATCGGGCCTCGTCATCCGGTCGCTTCCTCGATGACATCATACGAGATGCGTGTATCTCGAACGAGAAGCGTGACCAGGCAAAGAAAGCGTGTACCGCCCGAGCTTGGTGCCAGAACGTAGAGGCTGAAGCGCTCGCTGCGTTGATACCGCCGGTGCCCTTTTGCCGGCAAATCAATGCGGGACATACGATCTCGTCTCGTTACTGCGAACCGAGCAAAGAGGGACTGTCTGTCGACACAGCCGGCATGTGAGCCAGCAGAGATGCGTATCCGAGAGCCATGGATGCGCCTTGACCGTTCGGATGCAAAGTGTGAGCTGCATCTCCGATCAGGCAAGTACGTTTGCCATGCCAGTGTGGCTATGGAGGCACTTCATAAGGCGCCCAAAGTCGAGTAGCTGTGTCATCGACGTTCTCTAGTATCGACCTGATTGGCTCCCTCAATAAATGTGCATGGGGAGTCTTTGCATCCCGGGCTGCTTCGCCAGCCCTTTCGTATTTGTTCCACTCGCTTCGCGATCTCTCGTCCTGGATCGACGGCGAACACACCGAGAAAATCTGCTGAAGTCGTGATCATTGCTGGAATCCTGTGACCATCTGGCAGCTTCACGGTATCGACTTGCATAAATCCATTGACAAGGCATGTGCAGGTGTACATAGGCGTCGGGACTGCATCTCCCAGCAGTTCTTTGCTTACTGGCGAGAGGATGCCGTCTGCGCCGATGAGTACGTCCTCTTGGACCCGCTTTAGCCGGCCAGCTCAGCAGACTGAGCATAGACTGATCTTGCAGCTCCAATCCGTCTTCGAAGCGAGCGATCACCTGGTCGTCGCATACAGAGATATCAGCAATCTTTGTGCTCACTTAATACGCTCTCTTGGCATGCTTGTATCAGTACTCTTTCGCAGCCAGGCCGCATGCTGCGTAGGGACGACGGGCCGTGATCGCATAGGTCCATCTGAACGAATTGGTACCCATCCGCGCTGTAGCAGGTCGTTCGCTGGTAGCTGAACTCAGTTTCTTGATGTCGACCGACTTGTCAAGCACCTCGAGTCATTCGGCGCGAGAAAGCGAGCCGCTGGATTCGGAAATTTGCTTGGCCGAGCGCGAAGCTCGAAGATTGTCAATCTGACGGCCTTCTTAGCCAACGCGAAAGCCAGCGCATGTCCGTCAATGCCGCCGCCCACACATGCTGCATTCCGAGCAATCACAGTCTGCCTTCTGTTGCAGTCTGGCTTGCCGGGGATACGGAATTTGCTGTCATCGCTAAGCCCGAATTCCGCCCGGATCCTGTCGATCTCTATCGAGCCGGCGGGGCGAGAATCTCTGTCGGTTCGACGATGCGAGGAAGCAGTGCAGCTGCCAACAACGATCGACCCAACAGCATGCGACGGGCTCGTATCGCGCACAGAACATGGCGATCCGCCTCGGTCTACGTCGGCCATCTGCACTCTTGCCTCTCCCCGGCTGAAGGAACATAGCATCAGTCAGCAAGCCTCCCGTTCTTGCATATTTGTTATCCCCGCAGTCTCTCTTTTACCACCCAACGTAGATGGTGTCGAAGCATATTCTGCTCTGGCTCGGCGGTCTAGGTCTGCAAGCATTCGCTCAGCTTTCAGTGCAAGTCGGCAACGGGGTCTTCTCGCCAAATATCGTGCGCGGCTCGCCGGGCCAGACAGTGACATTCCATTTCTCAGTCGGCGGGCAGTCAGCAAGCGAGGCAACGGCTCGCCTCATTGACCCTTGCAACACCGAAGGCGGGTTCGACAGTGGAATACAATCTGCGGGCGGCTCCTCCTCCATCCTGCTTTCCACCACAAACTCGATCTACGTTTTCTCACATGCTTCTTGCACATCGGGGTACTCTTGGTGATTTCGACCGAATACTTGGCAGCTTACACTCGTCGTATAGGGGCGTCATGATCATCAATCCTGGGGCGAGTGACAGCGTAGCTCGCTATCAACAAGTCGCCAAAGCCAGCGGCGGCAATTCGGAAGGTGACGTGACTTCGCAGGCGGCCACTTCATCCCTAAGTCTGACCTCCTCGCGCGCTATAACGAGCGCATCGCGGTCAACTTCGAGCGGTGTGACAGCGATCTCAGCTATGCCTTTGTCAAATGCCACCACCTCGTCAAATGCACTCACTATCTCGAGCACTACATCGATGGCTCCTACTTCCAGTGAGCAAGCCAGCGTCGCATCAAACCCATCTGTAGCCTCGCCCTCGCCTTCTGCAAACACGGCTGATTCAGGCGCGACTCGCCGGTTTGTGGCTTCGAGTCCTGCGCACATAGGCTGTACTGCTTTTGTCCTAGCGCTCAACCTTTTGATAGGGGGTTTGTAAGCTTGTGTCAATCACCACAAATACATTGCGATTGAACGTATAATGTCGTAAGCATCACAGATCCTGTACCTGTACCTTGTTCTTGTAAAAGGCGAGGTGATTTTTGATATTCGTGGCTTTTGCCTGCTCATCTCATAAGATCAGGAGCACAATCTGGGCATAGGGACTCGATGAGAACCTTTGGCTCCGGATAGTACCAAGCCGCGTCACTGATGACAGAGCCAGGCATCACAATGTCGTCATACGATGCGGTTCCTTTCCAAGGACAGACAGTGTGTGTATCTTTGGCAGACGGTCGAATAACATCCTTGTTGACAGACTCTGGCGGGAAGCTGTACATGATGGACATGACAGGGCAAAGAGGTAGGAAAGGATGCAAAGTCAGCAGCATTCGGACGACCCATCGAGCGCTACCGTACTAGTGATTGCCTTCGACGATGATCGTGTCGTGTGACTCGGCAATGACAGTGCCGTTCGAGCTAGCTCGAGCAGATGGCATATTGACCAACCGTTTGTCCCGATGCTGACTGACGGCGAGCTCGCTTTGCCAAATCTCCGAAACAGTTCACGGGTTTATCGCGGCTTTATGCCAATCCGATTTCTAGTGGGCTCGCGGAACGCTCATGCGCTCATCAAGGGAAATGAACAACATCAATGCCGTCAGACTGAGCAACGACTCATTGGCTTATCTCTCTTCTAGCTGGCCTTCTCAGGTCTTTGACAAATCTCTCGTGCCTAGGCAAGACAGTCTGGCGCATGCTGTCTTGGCCTTGCGCTATTTGTCTCATATCAATTGGCAACCGTATTCGATCTCTCAGTGTCATCACCGCTAATGACCGTAGATGATGAGCCTCAGTGGGCACGTCTCAAGCATCCTACTACTCCTGTCTTTGCATTCGCTGCTCGACTTGTCTCAGCTACACGCTGCCACTGATTGTTGGTCAGACAAGAGCGTTTCAGACTGAGCCATCATCAGGCCTTTCGCGCGAGTAAAGTGGGGAAGACAAGCTGAGAAGTCACGTTGTCGTCATGACCGAGCGGACGTATACTCAGCAAATGTACACTAACAACCCTTTTCTTGGCGCATGTGATTTTCGTTGATACATGTTCCTTTCTTCATGCACATCATACGAGCAGCTCAGGCCGAAGAATATTCGCTACAAGCAACCATGGTCTTTGATCTCATCCATCTTCCCGATGGCACACAAACCGAAAGGTAGCTAGGTCTTTTGAATATGTCATATACCAACCCAGCAACAAATGAGCTCCTCATCGAAAACAAAGGAACGCCTCAGAAAGTGACAGCAGTGGTCGAGGCGAACAACCAAAATTGAAGACTATCCTTCTGATAATGTCAAATGCACAGTAAAGAAAGGTGATCTCGCCCAGCAAGCCATTTGTCATCCGTACAGCTCGCCGTGTCACCTATCAGACACTGTGCCAGGCCTGTCTTTGAGACCTTAAAGCTGGTGATAGTCTACTGCTTGCAATGATCTGATGAAACATATCACCTGCATGAGCCCACTCAACGCAGCGATGACCATCATGTCAACATCNAACACGCATCTCAGCAGCGGGAAATCATCCACTGCTGTCGACGTCCGCTCGAGCAATCAATGCATCAGTCGTCCGCTAGATACCATCCTGGAGACTATTGATGTATGGTACCGTCTCAAGGTACGGCTTCAGTCGTACTGCCGGCCAGACAGGCAACATCGAGCTCTCTAACTGAGCTAGTATCGCGAGTGAAGATAGTTCAATCTGCTCCGGAGTACGAACACATCTCTGTTGATAGTTGTCTGGCACAGACTGACTCTCCGTCCCGTTGATTCGTCGTAGCTATTGCAGGGAGTCTTGCGGCGATGCCTCAAACTGCAAGTTGTGTCGCGTTACAGTGATGGCGACTGGATNTCGTNCCGATGAAATGCAGCAATACGACAAAGTAAAGAGTATGAGGATCTCCGCTAAAGTCGCTGTGGTCAAGCGAATGTCCTGCCAACGCGCCTGGATAAATCAGTCCAATCAGATACACGGGTGATTAATAATTTCCCCATGAATTACGCAATGTTGAGTTTTGGCAAGGCAAATTGAAGAAATCCCCTGGCATTTCACTACTCGCCAATGACAGAGCGGTGCTATACCAAGATGACTCGGCTCTCTGCCATACCTTTCCTTCGCAACCTCTCGCTCAGACCTCCAGGGTTAGGGTTAGGGTTAGGGTTAGGGTTAGGGTTAGGGTTAGGGTTAGGGTTAGGGTTAGGGTTAGGGTTAGGGTTAGGGTTAGGGTTAGGGT